ATGTATGTATGTATGTATGTATGTATGTATGTATGTATGTATGTATGTATGTATGTATGTATGTATGTATGTATGTATGTATGTATGTATGTATGTATGTATGTATGTATACATTCACAAAGAGCTTCTACTGTTGGAGCGACTTGCCGGGGATCTGAGTCGCCAGACCAGAAATGTCTGCGACCTGGCACGTCATGGGGGCATCCAAATCATCCAGCCGTCATGACCATGACGACTGGATAGCTTAACCACTATGACAACTGGGGATCCCCATTATTCATCTGGGTAAATTATAATATTTCACTAACCTGAATTAAGGCCATTTGGGGATGATTCCCCTTACTAACTATGATTCATCAATGATTTTGAACCGAAAGCCCCACTTCTTCAACTGGGGACGTCGCAAGGCGGGCCAATCACACCTTGGCCCAGTAAAAGTCCTCCGTGTTGTCAAACCTGAATCCAGTTGTCACTGCTGGGATTTTTGGGTGCCCTGAAAATCTTTCCGAAGAGATAATCACACATACATACATTATCTATATATATATATATGTATAATGTATAATGTATAATGTGTCATGTATAATGTATAATGTATATTATATAATATATATATATAATGAATGTATATTTATCTATTTGAATATGTAGTGTATATATGTATATATATATACGGACGATCACCCTCGTGTTCAGAAACAAGTCCCTGTCTTTATATAGAGTTCCTGAAAACAGCTTCTCGGTGGTAAGGTGCCCCTAATATGATTGAAAACAAAATGTGTTCTATCTGAAACCGCCAGTCAGTCCTTCTGTGAAGTAACTCCATCGTGTGCAAACTGTGCAAGACTGATGCTTCAGGATTCTTCTCTAGGATATGTAGGACATGAACCGGCCTTCAACTAGTTTTGCCCCAAAATCGGGTATTTACCCATGAAATTTGGGAGTACCATGAAACAAACTTATTATCCGTCCACACTGCCCTCCACGATCCGAACACAAAAAAGGCCTCGTGAAAAGGCCTCCTTAAAAAAGATCTGAAAAACCGATGCCGGAGATCTTCCGGAGTATAACCAAAGCCTACATAATATATCATTATATAATGATGCATCATGTAGTATTGGAATACGCTCCAATAATCCAACCAAAAATCCAATGGGAACCCCTTGGGAAGACCCCCAGTTCCACGGTGGTCGGACCTTGCGAGGACAAGGTCTCCAATCACTGGATCTCCTGCATCCCGATTCATCCAGCTTGGTCCATGACGACTCTGTGTTCTTGTGGAAGGTATTTACACTATCTGCTTGGTGGTTGAGCCCTACCCCTCTGAAAAATGATGGAGTGAAAGTCAGTTGGGATGATGACATTCCCAATATATGGAAAGTCATAAAAGCCATGTTCCAAACCACCAACCAGCTAATGGCTTTACACATGGCTAGAAACTCCCGACTTTCTATGGGAGAATACGAAGTTAAATGAAAGGAACGAAAGGAACGAAAGGAACGAAATGGCCGATCTTCCAGTGCCGGGTGCCTAGAAGCTCTTCTGGCCCGGGCGAAATGCCTGGAAGCTCTTCTGGCGCTTCACGACCAAGCCTTGAACAGAGCACATGGAGATCCACCATGGAATACCATGGATCCAGGGTATTCCAATTGATCTTAGGCCAGCTCCCGGGCGATCCCAGCAGTGGCACCTTAAGGTTTCGGCTTCGAAAAACAGCCAAGCTGTGGCCCATAGAATTCCAATGGTTAGCCCAAAAAATAGAGGGATTTGAAAGGATTTATATGGTGAATCACCATTCTAGGACCTAGGTTCTAGGATAGACCCGACTTTGAGACAAACACAACATGTCGACAGTTTGCTCTACTTTCGTTGAGTTCAGCACCGGATTCGGGGAACTCTCGATCATGGCTCAAAGAATCTGTGAACTTTCCAGCTGTGAGTGCTGCCAGTTGCATCTTGCAGTAGATGTTTTAGCCGAGGCTTGGTGGCTTGGTGAATCCATGTTCATCCCCAGCTTCCAGTTGGGTGTCCAACTCGCCTGTGCCAGACCCTCCTGGGCCTAGAAGCTGGCGCGGAAATGGATCAGTGAACTGCCATGGAATCCCCTGGGTTTTCACACCATCAAAACAGCCGACCATACCATGGCCTGTTTGAGGAGCGAAACCAGGGGGGCCGATGGCTAAGATGTGTGATCCATTCTAGGACACGCTCATCTCGCAATTCATGTAAGTGACAAATAATCATGGTATATATACTATTAACTATGAACTTGATTGTTTTGATCTGGACTCTTTCTTGCCAATAAACCATCCAATTGGAGAGGTCAGACAGTCAGACACTTCTTGAACCATGGCGAGTGGAGCTCATCTCGTCACTTTTTCAGTCCGCTGTCACCTCTTTGAACGCCACAACTTCAAATGCCCAGTCCGAGACAAGCCCGGCAATAAATCAGTGGATGAAGACATCGACTGGATCTTCTCTCTGGAAATCCCGTTGAGATCTTCCCGAAAAGCATGTTGCCTTCATCCACAGGATCTACATATCACCGTAATAGATGACTTTGTGGGCAGCCCCACTACACTCAGCCAGAGTCTGGTGTTACCAGCATTTCAAGATGTGTCACATTGCAATCTGGTGCAAAAACACGATGGCAAATTAACATAACTATGGAAAATCACCATGCTATCAATGGGTAAATGGGTAAATCCACTATAAATCACCATTTTCAAGTTTGCAAACTGTTAGTCATTACCAGAGGCTACCCCATTTGATGGTCACATCTGAATGATTAGATGAAATCTTGGGGATATATATACTGTTATACTCTATTTTCAGACAAAGATCTCTCCATGTTCGTGTTGTCTGATGGAAAGTTAGATAAAGAGCCCCATGGTTTCGTCCATCTACCGAGAGAATGTCCCTTCTCAAGTACACGATGATTGCAGATGCATATGTATATGTTACACATATGTATATGTACGTACGAAACTTGCCACTTTTTATCAAGCATGTGTTGTTACGCCAATAGACCTGTACTTGCTTAAACCATTTCTCGCAAGAACGGCTTTGTTCGGGTCCCAAATTGGGAACTTCTGGACATCTCTCGATTCAGCTCAGGCTTCACCTGCCTCAGCGACTGCAGCCCAAGTCAGCTGGCAAGCTAACAATTCAACGATCAGAAATTTGGATTCAAGCATGAAAGTTGGGCTTTAATCAGCAAATATATAGTCTTAACTGTAAATGTGGATTTAGGCATCAACAATTTGGATTGAACCTGGAAAAATGAAGATAAAATGTAGATTTAACCATCAGAAACTGGGACTTGGGCCTCAAAAAGTGTGATAATACATGATATTACCAGCAAAAACTGAGATGTAACTGTGAGAAACTGGGACTGAACAGTCAAAAATGTTCTGATTTCCAATTGAAAAGTTGCTGTAGAAACCGCTCTAAATTGGTGGCAAAATTGGTATTGTAAAATCCCGTGTTTCCCTTCTCTTCCCTTCAATCGGTCCATTGAACCAGCTCTTGACATCACCACGCTTCGGTAAAAGTGCGATCAAAAGCATCCCTGTCCTTCTCACACTTGCAAGCTTTTTAAGGATTTTATTAATGATTGGTGTGCATCATGAGCCCTTCACCTGGCCCCAGTGCTTTTTTTGGGGTTGGGATTCCTTGGGGATACTTGGGGGTACAGTTCTAGTTAGATGTGTTTATGTACCCTCTGGTTATGACTAACATAGCCATGGTATAGATGGTCCATTTATAGATGCTTTACCTATAAAAAATGGTGATTTTCCATGGCGAACTGTTAGTCATAACCAGAGGGTAACCATGGTATACCATGGTTGTTTTCTCCCCATATCCCATGGAGATGGCTGAGTCACTGCCATCTCTGCAGCCGCCACTTGTTCCATGAGCGCCTCAACCAAAAAAACGACCGTTTCATACCGAAAACCTGCGATTCTACCAATAGAAGTTGGGATTGCTGACCAATGATGGAAAGTTTTCACCAAAGAAAGTTGATGAAACACCGAGAATTCATCTAAACAAATTATCCTGACAAGAAAAAAACTGATATCACCAGCAACAATCGAGGAAACTGGACAGATTCTGTGCATATTTGAATCAAAAAAACAAGGGGCTGTCACAATCAATGACAGCCGGTTCCGGTAAGTCTTGTCTTCAACAAATGACTGGAGAATCTGCCGACAGCACTCAGAGCCGGGCTTTGCTGACAGCATCTTCCTCTTCAGCCTGTGCGCAGTCTGGGCTGCGCATGTTGATTTAACACACGGCTGAAGCAGCTTCTGCGAACGGAATATCAGCTGGGTATAGCAATAGCCGCTATTGCCCACAAATTGGTAATATGTATATATATATATATTATATATATTGGTAATATGTATATATATATACAATATATAGTTTAATATAGTTTAATATACTATTAATACAGTAACTGGTGATAGAGATGAAACCAGACCCCATCAAGTGAAGATGATACCCAACCTCCAAGCCAGGGGCGGCGACCTGAAGATTCACTTCAAGCGACAGCACTAAGTCATTGACTCAGTGCATCATTTTTTTAGTGAGGTCACGCCACAAATAGAAATACATCAAGAGATTTTGTGATGTAGTATGTGTTAGTCTCTTGTATACTGGAGGATCATCCCACGAATCGTAACTGATTCAAAAAACCCTGGCCAGTCCCCGATTCCTGGGCTATTCGCGGCTATCCCATGGCTTCCAACGCTGAGCCTCCCACATCCTCCATGATTGGCTCGCCGGTCTCACCCGTCTCACCCGTCTCAACAATCTCAATAGTCTCCGCAGTCTCTGGTGCAGCTTGCGCATCACCAAAGGCTGCCCTGCGCAAGACAATCCCGGTGTGGATTCTTTGGCCATTGAAAATCTCTTTCCTCAGAAAATTGGCACATCATGCATATCGCAGCATTAAATGCAACAGCATGGCATCCCAGCAGTTGCCGGCCCTTTTTGCCAGGACGCCCTTCAGGCTATGGCCTTCGTTAACAGAACCATTACAGACGTAGCGACGGCGCGACGGCCCCCGGCGCTTCGCGACCCGGGCACCAATCGTGGCAAACTGAAGCGAACCTTCGCTTGGAAGGATTAAACCAGCTACTGACAGCCATGGGTCGGGTCATTGGGCGGTCAACCCAGAAATGATGAAATTCGGAGTGACCATCCATTGATCCATTGATCCATTGGACCATTGACTTCGACCCATGAAAAAGGTACAAAGGTTGATGGTTAAAGCACAACTCATCAACCCACTTGGAGTAGATCCTGTACAAATCCTGTCTTGGACAGTTCAGGTCAGCAGAGTCCCTGGGAGCAGAATCTGTGGATGAACGTCAAAGTCCAGATCCGGACCTACGTCATACGGCAGGTCAAACTCTTGGTCTGGCAACTGAAGTGCCTGCGCCAATTTTTCTGCAGAACTGGGAGGATTTTTCCATGCAGCAAACCATGGTGCCATGGCGTTCTAGTTAACCAAGTTGGGATGTGAAATTGTCTGAAAAATGGGTTGGATGTGGCCTCCAAATAACACTTTGAGTCGAGAACCTGATGAATCATGTGATTTCGGAGGGTACCCTGCAAATTTCTGGTGGAACTGCACCCCAAAGTGGCAACCATTGGTAGCGCGGCAAATGCTGACAGCAGTCACAAAACTACAAAATGCATAGAGTAACACCTAAATTTCCCACATCTACACGGCAGTTTTTGACATCACCAGGTAAACAGCCCACAGCCCACAGCCCACATCACAAGATCCCTGTCCTTCTCGCGCTTAACACCTGGCCAAAAAAACAAAACAGATTGGTTGAAGGATGTTGAAAGGAAATTGTACCATGAAACCATGAAACTGTGACGCCCAAATAGAGGGCTTGAAAAACCTTAAATGTTCCTGTCGACCAATTCATGGCAGCTCACACCCACGCCTTCGTGATATTTCGGCCCGGCGTCGTTGCCCTCACGGCAACTCGGGGAACCAAGACAGCACTGTGTACTAAATGGGTCAAGTCGTTGAGGTGCTTTCAATGTTTGTAGCCTCTGGTAAACTAACGGTTTGCGAACTGGAAAATGGCTCATTTATAGATGATTTACCAGTGAAAAATGGTGATTTTCGATAGTTATGTGAACGTTTACTGGAGGGTAACCCATACCCAACTGCCAGATTCACTTTCCAAAAACCTCTTCGATTTACGGCGCCTGGGCGACCGGCAGGCCTTTTGTCCTCAGAAGTCGGCGGACATTTCGACCGTTCGACCGAGGTGACATGGTCCAATCTGCTGACCATGCCAGCTTTCGTTACCCTCTGGTAAACATACAAAAAACTATGAAAATCACCATTTTTTATGGGTAAATCCACTATAAATGGACCATGTTCAATGGCTATATTAGTTTACCAGAGGGTAAAATCCTGTTGGTTTTTATCCCAACATAATGAATGAATACCTATGTTGGAGGATTAAATCCGCAGAGGGGACAAAAACACCCCAGTTGAAGATCCAAGTCTTGCTTTTATACTTAGGCAAGTTTGTTGTCATCCCAATTGTTGCTGGTCTACTGTAATCAATCCAATCCCATGTTTATTGCGTTTTTAGCCGCGTTTAAAATCTGACTCGTATCACCATTAAAAAAATCATGAAATATCATAAAATATGGGGATGTATCAAAACCAATCTTGCTATAGTTGGGGGGATGAACATCCATTTACCAGTTGTTTGGGGTTCACTAGGGTACCAAGGTTTTGACTCATACCCATATCATAAAAATCTCCCCAGAAACTGGTGAATGCCTTGCTCTTGATCCTGAAAAATTCATTCTGGCAAGGCACAGCAGGCAGCCCATCTGGCTTTCCAGTTGCTGTAAGCGTTCGTCCGCCAAGAAGACCTTTCCTCAGCTGGATGCCATGCCAGAGATGTGGTCGAAAATAGATACATCAATTATATACTGGTTGGTGGTATACCTACCCCTCTGAAAATGATGGAATTCGTCAGTTCGGATGATGACATTCCCAATATATGGAAAAACAAGAGCCATGTTCCAAACCACCAACCAGCTAATGGCTTTACACATGGCTAGAAACTCCAAACCAGATTATCATCAATTATTTAAGTAATGAATTTCACACTCCATCGATCAAACGTGGGGATTTTTGAAAAAATCCCCCATTTAGTTTGATGATTTCCCCATTGAAGGCTCCATTTATTTATATATATATAGTTGGGATTGTCCATTGCCAGCCACGTTTGATTACCAGAGGGTACGTGGGCATGGTTTACATGACATAACTCCCAAATATGGTCAAATTGACTAAAGTTGAACATAGTAATAGTACAGTAAACCATTGATAGATTGGGGTGTTCACCAGTAATTCAAAATAGTTCATCATTAGTACAGTAAACCATTAACTAAAGTTGAATATAGTTATTCTACTGTAGTAAACCATTGATAGATTGGGGTGTTCATCAGTAATTCAACAGGCAGTTTGTTGTTTCTACGCACATCTCCAGGTCCACCTGCCAGCCGAAGCGAATTTGAATGGGAGCAATACCTGTCGATCGTGTCAAAAGTGTTCACACGTTTTCATCATGGCCAAGGGTCTGTGTCTACATGTGTGTTTAGGACTGGGCTTCTGTCTGAAAACATGACCAAGTCTGTACTTCACGCAAACCCATGAAATTTTGCTGTGAATCCTCCAAAGACATCTGGTTTGTGGTATACCTACCCCTCTGAAAAATATGAAAGTCAGTTGGGATGATGACATTCCCAACTGAATGGAAAGTCATAAGAGCCATGTTCCAAACCACCAACCAGACATAGTTTGATTCAAATCATCCCCTCTTCATCTGGCATCCAGCACCGGTTCCTGGCTGTTCAACCGAGCTGCTCTTGATCCGCCTGCTCTCATCCATCACGCAGGCAATGTCAAGAGCCTCAGGGATCTCCGTCCGGTTTTTTTGGGCAAGTCCGACTTATGGGAATAAGAAAGGATCCTAAAATGGAGCTACGTAAACGTACCATATTTCTGGGCATGTTCTAGGGATATTCCCTGATATACATAGGCCTGAACAATAGGCCAAACATATTAATGGTAAATCGGTACCTCCGTCCTCAATCGGTTCCTTTTCGCCATGGCCATCTTTTCGTCCTGCACCAAAGTGCTACCAAGCGTCCTTTGCAGGTCCACGAAGTCGCAGACAACCTTCCATAAACTCCTTAGGTCATACCATCTGGTTATGACATTCACAGTTTGCCATGGAAAGATCCACCATGCTATTAAGAACGGTAAACCATCTATTTCTATGGGCCATATATACCATGGCTATGTTGAATAACCTTAGGTCATAACTGTCATGACATGCCATAACATCTACAGTAATGATTGTCATACCCACTCACCAGAAGCACAGGCTTAAATGAAACTGCAAGAAAATGTCTCGACAACCAGCAAAAAAAGATCTGAGTTAGTCTGAAAATGAGGTAACTTCCAATGGATTATCAGTTCATCATCTTTGCCCATAAAATTGCCATCAATTTTGTGTAAATCCAACCCATATGTTTTTAAAAAATACGGACAAGCCTATCTTCCAATTTGTGTTCCAGAGAGAAAGTACTCATTTTCGTGATGCAAACATAATTCAACATGATTATGTAAATAAAATATTCATTTCGAGGCTGCTGTAGTAGACACCGGTGCACTTTTAAGCTTTTTTCCCATAGCCCTTCCATACCTTCGGCCCCTTGGTCCAGACACCGAGAGATTGATGTCACCATTGCCTGCTTCATCCAAAAGCTTGAAGAGCGTCCAGCTATCCCTGGCACTGAGGTCCAGCGATTGGAACATCGCTCGAACCTCTTCCTGTTCGAAGAAATTCCTTAGGACGGCATGGTGCGGTCTCACAGATGCTACGCAGTCGAAGGCAATGCTTAAAAGGGGGGTCAAACATATTCCAACAACCATCTTATGGTTGGATATTTTAGTGTATCCGGATAGATATATCATCAACAATATGATGATGTTGGTTTGTCATTAAAGATTGGTTGGAGCTGGCCCCAAGCTATGGTCATGAAATACACTGGGGAAAACGGGGCATGGGACCAGCTTTGTGTCACCTGCAACAAAGTTTGGTTCCTTCTTGAACTGTCTCCAAATGGCCCAAATTTCCAGTCTCCATTTGGGTTTTCACCACAAAAGACAGGGATACCAAAACAAATGTCGAACATCTGGGAAATATTGCTGAAATCACAAAGTTGTTAACTCCAATTTCTCAATCTCGGGCTGTTTAAGAACGGTGACTTTCAATTCAAAAACTGGTGACCAACGCCGCTCAGAATCTCCAGCTCGCAGAGCGTAATGGCTCCATCCGCCTCGAGACCTGCAGGTGAAGGTGAAATGTACTGAGAACTGGAAGATTGTACAGTAAAATTAAATGTAGTTGTTCATTAAATGTAGTACAACTGGTGAAGGTAAAATGATGCAAAATGTAGCACTAAACTCTGATGTACCAACTCTGAATGGCGGCAAGAACTGGAAGTACTGAGAATTTGCCGCCACTCTTGGCTCTGAAACTGACCAATGGACCAATGGGGGACAAGAGACCATCAAAGATATGGAAGAGTTGCTCGATACACTTCCTGGATCGCCTCAGGGTCTGCAGAGGAGGGTTGCTTTGATCAGACCGTTGATTTTCATGTGGGAAAGCCACGAAAAGAAAGGGATGGAATAGATCTAAACCCTCCCAAAATGGGGTATTCTGTTGATTCAAGAAATCTAATCAAAAAAAATGTTGCTGATTTGATGTGGTAAGCCAAGTAAACTCCCAATCTGAGCAGGAATGAGTGTTCAGACTATGCCTCATTGGATGTTTAAACATTTTATTATTGGGTTTACCAGAATCGTAAGTTTAGCCTGCAAGCAGTCATCCTCAAGTTCTTCCCCACGCAGAAGGTGGAACCAAATTCAGGCAAACTCTAGTGCATATGCCCAGCGGGGATATGTTGCAAAAAAGTACGGGTTGTTTCTCCCAAATATCAATAGAGGTTTCAGCGGTTTCAATGGTAAGTTCTCCCATCAAATTCCGGCAGTTCTCAGAAGGACTACCGCATGACAATTTTTGTGTAAAACATCTTCGCTGCAACCCCTAGGTTTGCCCGCGGCCAATCCTGCATATCCTTTGACATGCTCACATCTTTAATCTTTATATTTCATGGAAAAAAAAACACGGTTTCTTTTCCGGTGAAGATCTTCGCGTCTTCAAGCCATTGACAAAACCTGAGTTCCGAAAAAAAACCGAGCGACTTCTGATCTTCATGAAATCTCTGCATGATGTTCTGTTCGTCCTGCTCGGCACTCTCAATGGCCCGTTTGCAAAACACGGCCTCAGATCGCCAAATCATGTCTTGTTTTGTGGATCCCCAGTCGTCACCATGGGTTTCAATACTAAAATGGCTTACTGGGATGATGATGATGATGATGATGATGATGATCAAGTTGTATTATTTCTTATTGGATTTTGGGGTATGGTCATCGCACCATGAATGGGATCCCATTGAATACTATTGAAGAATGGGCTTTCAACCCCTCCCCGTGGACCCTGGCACAACATGTCACACCAGGATTCTCAGGTTCATGGGTCAATTCATGATCCCAATGGGTTAAAATGATAACCCCATCATGATGGTTATATAATCCATGCAGTAGTGGAACTGCAGCCCCAAGTACTAGTTGGTTGCTTGAGAACAACTATGATGATATATATATATAATCATATAATCCCCAAAAAAGATGCGATGTAGGGAAGATCACCCCCAAACTAAGAAAAACCAGGGGTCATCTGGTCACTGCTCAAGGGATGCTAAGCCAAGTTGCAGTCATGACATTTAGGACCGCGAAATATGAGAACGCCTCGCTCGCGGCTTTTTTTGGGGGGCATTGCAACAGTCCAAAATGGCAGAAGTCAGCAACAAACAGTCTTGACCCGTTTCCAACGGCATTCCAAATTGGGAGGAAAAGACTCAAAATTATGTAATTTCAGGAACCAAGAAGCTATGTAGCCAGTGAAAAAGTAGCCTTCGCAAGAGAGACGGCAACAACTCACCGCACCAGGATCCCAAAAAGCATTTGACTTTCAATCTAAGAACATCACACCAGAATCGATGGGCGTAAAATGAGAAATTGTACTGAGAACAATGCGGCCACAACGGAGGCCAAGAAGAAATAAAATTCTTCTCGTGAGGCAGCAAGAGAGTGCCTACCTGGTATCTACAGGCCTATCAAGAGCGAAGTTGGCTGGATCGTCATCTCCAATTCAGATACCTTCTAAATTTTCTAAATCGCGATTTTAGGCGGACAAAAAAAAACACAAACGATGAAACGAATGCTTCACCAGGTAACCCCAGATCCAATTGATGTAGATGAGCAAGTTGGCCATATCCCCCCAGTCCACTCCCCCGGTGACAGAACGGAAGAGCGTGTGCATCGAGAGATGCCTCAATTCGTGATGGAGCACCACTGGCACCCTGGTTTTATCCACTAAAAAAAAAGGATTTAACATAACATAACTTATTGATTAATGGATATTAATGGTGGATTAATGCTGATTTAACTAGTCTTAATCTATTTTAATAACATAACTTATTTTTGGGATAGTTCTAATGGTGATTAATGGTGACTAGTGGTGACCAATAGTGATTATGGGATCAACGAAAAATTCTGGATCATAAAAATATAGCCATTTTCATGCACCATCCTGTTCAATCCCCAAAAAAAACAGAATCAATTCTGGGATTGATCCCATAGGGGTCAACATGTTTCAAACCCGGGGAATTGATGGGGAACCATTGGGGGCCCATTTCACCGAACGAGTGATTTTTGCGAATGGAAAGAATTCACCATGGGCTGTACCCTCTGGTGAACTAACATAGCAATGGAAAATGGCCATTTATAGTGGATTTTCCAATTAAAAATGGTGATTTTCCATTGCTATGTTAGTTCACCAGAGGGTAATGCATGCGTGTAAAACCAAGCCGACCAAGCCTTTTCCGGCGAATCTAGGATCAAAAGCGAAGCAGGAAGCCTGTACCCAGGTGGTTCGCACCCGAAAAACGAATGTTCTTGGCGGATCCCCAACAAACTTCGCTGGTACAACTGGGTCACAACTGGGTCATTTGCACAGGTTTCCAAGGCGCAGGGACCCGAAGTGCGTCAGGAGATCTGCTTCCATGGAACCTTCTGCCACGGTGTCCACGTTATGGAGGCTGGTGTAGCCTATGACGGTGTCTGTGAAGAGGATTCCAAACCTCGGCTGAGCTGGTGGCGTTTTCCACTCGAAATTGGAGATTGCTGGAAAGTGTCCCTTCAATTCTGAGAGGAATATACCAATCCCCACTCAACTTCAGCTGGTATCATCCCTCACACATGAATTTGCTCATGAGTCGGACCGTCGGAGCATTCCAAAATTTCAAAAGTTCCATCTTCACAACAACTTACCCGTGCTAAGCGTAGGGAATCAGAGACCGAGGGATTGGGTCATGAAAGCCCATTACCAATGAAGCACCAGAAAGTCATACAAGGTGGTGGCCCAGTCATGTTGGTTTAGGTTTAGTTTCATCCCATGAATAGTATAGATATTATATATATATATATGTACATACATATATATATATATATCATATATATATATTATCACATATCCCATAAACATCCATAAACCATCACAGCCATAGCTATCTTCCTCCTCCAAGTAACACATAGATGACCATCAAGAGCAGCAGCAAGCTCCACAACAAGGACTTTAGGGTGGATAGGATGGAACTGATCAGCGAGGTGAGACCAGATATAAATTTCACCACCTGAATCTTCGTTCAGCTACGCAATGAATGGGATTCACAGGGAAATTTCATGGGAAATTCATCAGAAAAAATAAGTTGTCCAGCTGAGAAGAGATCGAAATCTGCTTTTTTAAATTCTGCAACGGATTGGTTCAAAGGAATTGTTATAGGAAACCATGGTAATACCAGCCTAAACCAATTTTGGGACTGTGTTAAGTCGCCACCACGATGCCGAAACTCTTAGTTGCCTCAGGGTTCTTAACCTTTACTCGTTTGCGGTGGTGGCCTTTAACGTTACTAAAACGTTGGTTTTACCAGTGGCGGCCAATGTTTCACTGGCTGCCAGCTTCAAAATGGGACCCAACTAGTTTCAAATCCGCTATCATCATTTTGTTAGATGCCACTCCTTTTTCATCCTTTCAGTGCAAAACATCTGCCCGTTACCCTCGTTATCTCTATTAAATAGCGTTACAAAATCATCCCACGACTCGCGACTGACTCACCCAAGCTATAACGGCACCCATTTAAAGGGATAGCACCATAGCCTCGGGGACTTACTATCAGGGCTATGGAAACCACTTGCGCAAATCACAAGTAGCTATACCCTCCCTGTTGTTTTCTGCTGATACACCAATGTTTATATTATATACTGTATATATATATACACAATTTTACCGTATACGAGGTCCCAGGTCCCTTCCCAAAACCTGGAGTGAACCACCACACCTTAATGACTCGCATGACGCGAAGCACCCGCACGATGCGCACGACACGGATCAAATTCGTGGGAGCGATGCGAGTTTCACTGTCACCTGCTTGAACCACCAGGAGAATGTCGAAGATCACTTCAACCATCGAGGTGCAAACGATGGTGAGATCCAAGTAGTTCCAAAATATCCTGAATTTTTTGGCAGGAGAAAGTTAGAGAAAGATCCAATTAGTTCCAAAGCTCTATCGAAGCAACCATGTTTTACATTTTGAAACATAGGAGACAACACAGTAGGTACGAACATTCTTGGACGGCCGGATACGACGTACGATTGAGCAACTATAAGAAGCAAAGCTGCCATGGCCAGGATCTTCATTGGGACCATCGATTGTTCAGTACCCAACAGATGTCATGTGGGTTTGTCAGAGGAACACCCCAAAATCCATGAGTCTCTCGTCATTTGACCTATCAAAATAGCCCTCAATTTCTTGGTGACATACCCTCTGGTAAACTAACATGGCTATTGAAAATGGCGACAGAAATAGTTGATTTACCCATCAAAAATGGTCATTTTCCATAGTTATGTCAACGTTTACCAGAGGGTATCCCATATTATCATATATTATCCTACTCTCATAGAATCTAACTATAGAATCTGATAATATGGGAGTAGAATATCATATATTATCCCCCATCATCCCCTCATAGAATCTACCCCAGTGCCTCGCTGCCAAGTGACGTCCCTCGATCCTTGGTGCAGAAGAAGTTCCGTCCATCCACCCAGATCTTCAGCAGCAGCTCCAGCGTAAACAACGCTGCATAAGTGAGATCAAAGACCTGAGGTGGCGCCGATTTCGGAGGAATGGAATATATGGAATATATGGAATATATGGAATATATAATGGAGTATATAATGGAATATATATGGAATATAGGGGAAAAGGATGCACAACCAGAGGCCGTCAAATTTTCAAGCGGCAAATTCTTCTGGGATGATGAAAAACCCATCCGAAACGCCAATCTCTCGCCCGTCTCTCGCCTTAAAGATCGGCGGCGGGTCGAGGCCAATATTCCTTAGCCGCTTAGCCGGCGAGCTATAGCTCCAGTCAAGGCCTTCTGCAGTCATAGCTATCGGTTGAAAGAATGTACATAGAGAAGCTATAGATATAGCTATAAAATGCATTAAAATGCTATAGAGCCTAGAGCTATTGTAGATCTAAATATATCCACATTCTTAGCATATTCTACGACCTCTAGTTCCGGCTGCTTCCAAGTCTCCCTGATTCATACTCCAAAGAAATGCCTTGACCGGGTCAGAATCCGAGAGTCGATCAACAAAATTGGTCCCATTGCTAGAATCTCTCGACATGGCACATGTGCGTCTCACCTAAGTTCCTGCAGATTTCATGGGGAAAAACATGGCCTAACGGCTTTTCCTCAGCTGTTAGCTGTGCAAAGATGCATGTTCTGCAAAAAAAAGCCACCAGCGGCAAACATACACTGCCAAGCAATTTTGCATAGACAGCTAGAAACAGGCTTGTCCCAAAAAAAAGGTTGTACCCACAAAAATATCTCGTGGTTGATCATATTTTTTCCCATGAAAATTGCTATAGATTGAGCTACATCAAAACCCAGGCTTGGTGACAAACCCGAAGGAAAATCAATAGAAAATCAAATTCGTGAGACAACGTCCCGAAAATCTCATGTTTCATCGTCATGTTCCCAGTTTTTCATTGGCCTTTGAATTGGTGGATTTATCCAACATATCCGACATATCCCCCTGGGCCAGGCCTAAGAAGATAGAGTTGCTGAAGATCACTGCTGCAAAAATACCTGGCAGTGGGTATCATCGTGGACACACTTCAGCTCTTCACATCATGTGTTTAACGGGAAAAAAAAACAGAAAAAGGTGCCGGGCTTAACAAGTAAAATACATGGGAGAACTATCCATAAACAGGAAGTCATTATTTTTTCTATGTATATAACCAACAATATATGATGTGTGGGGGGGAAATTACGTCAACAGCAAAAATAAACAAGCTGACAAATGCTTCGATTCCGCTGCCAAGTTTGTCCTAAAATGGCGTCTGTAGACCCCAAGTTATTGTTACCTTGATGCGAAAAAATATGAATTTCCAAACCATAGCATTTGAATGCATTTGATGCGTGTTCCATCCATTTTAAGACAAATCCAACTTGGGACTGCATCCTGGACATCTATATCTTTTTAATGGATTAAGCCTGCAAATTTTAGAGACAAATCATGACAAAAACCCATCATTCTGTTCCCGCCACAAGAGTTTCCCCATATGTTCAAACAAGCCGAATACCACATTGTTGATTAGCTATATCCCATTCTATGCATGCGTGTATACACATCGTAACTGTATGTGTACATATATATATATATATTACATACCCTCTGGTAGTTCAGCATAGCTTCGGAAAATGGCCCATTTACAAATGAGTTACCTGAGGATTTCCTAGCAAACTGTTAGATAGCGGAAGGGTATTCCAATCAAAAATCCCATCATTCTCGGCCTTCAAAGTTTTTGGAGTTGACCCAGTTGGCCAAGTGCGACGACCAAGTGTGCAAGTCCGGCACTGGCTTCTCTTCTGTCTCGTCCTGAGTAAAAGGATCTGAAGCATCAAAACTTGGAAGTTCAAAGCGAAAAATATACAAAACGGGGGTTAACCAACCAAAAATATCCGGGAATGAAAATGTGTTGCGAAACCAGCTCAAAGTTTGGCCTCTAGTGATGAAAACCCCCTGGGGAAACACTACTTTTTCCCTACCCAGCTGCTGATGGGTCTGGAAATAGGCCAGCCCAAAATGCCCAAAATCCATATCATCACCATTTTTTATCCATGTTTCCGATGAAAAATGGGAGATCTCCCCATTTTTTGATCCAAAAAAATATCGCATCGCCGCCCAAAAATCCCAGGTCCGACGTGGCCACCCGCCAGGGTACGGTGGAGGCCGTGCGCTGCGCACGGCGCCTGGAACGCTCATCAGCAAGCGCCTGGAGTTTTCCCAAGAAAATGGTGCTAAAACCAGCCTTTGAATTAGGATATGATGGGAGATGTAGTTGGTGAATCATCTGAATATGTCACATATGTATTATATTGTATTATCATGTATTTATGTAATCAAGATTGGATTTAGATGTAACGCTAAAAACCAGAAAACTCGTCCTGCCGACCTCGTATTCCTCCTCCTCCAACAGTGGAATCCTTGGATAACACGAGTCGGCAAGGGCAGGCAGGCTGTCATCTTGAAGCCACCAATCTGTCAGGTCTGGGTTGTCCCGAAAACTGGTTTGGATCCCCCAAAATTTATGGCATTTGTCAAGAGGAAAATTCAAACATATTATCAACCACCAAATTTGAGGTGCCCTATGTTCAGACCAACCCATATTATGTAGCCACCCCAGACCCCCTTTCTCGTTCTTGTGCAGTTTTCTCGTTTGGTTTACTAAAACTTCTGCCAAGAATCGCATTCACTTGCCATCTCTTCTTTCTTGCTCCCTGCGCCTTACGTGTTTGGCTCCTGGCGAGACTGAGACCTTTTAGAAGGGGATTCAACACTAACCAACAAGCCTCGGTGAATAATCCCCAAAACACATAGGAAAACACAAGAAAAAACAGTAAAATAGTGGCAAATTGAACCCGTGTATCTTTTTTATGGCAGCTACTAACCTTGGCTAGTAACTTCATAAACCCAGTAATATTTCATATAGTTGGTTTCACTATAATCTTTGAACTATAATTACAACTACCAGTTTTCACTAACCCTTGGTTTCATTACTAAAGATACCCTAAACTTTCACTGGTTGGTGGTTTCAACCCCTCTGAAAAATATTCGTCAAATGGGAGTATGACATTCCCAATATATGGAAAGTTATAATCCATTCATGTTCCAGTCACCAACCAGAAAAATATCCACAAAAATTGGGTGTTGAAAATGTTTTGAAACCAATGTCTTGAAACCAGCTCAAAGTTTCATATTAACCCATATGTTTATACTATTATCCCATAATAACTCTGGAAAATCACCATGTTTCATGGGAAAATCCCATATTAACCCAGTCATCAAGGGCTTATCTCATCGATCACTGGCCTTGGATCCGGCGCTTCAGGCGCTTGAGCGCCCTCTGCTTGGATCTTTTCGGGTGCCTGGAGGATGGCACGCGAAGTACCAAATCACTGGATTTTAGTTGGGTTTTAGTGGGATTTGATGGAAATTTAATCGGATTTAATGGGATTTAATGGGATTTTAGTGGGATTTTATGATTTTACTGGGATTTTAGTTGGATTTTAGAAGGATTTAATGGGATTTAGTGGGATTTAATGGGATTTTAGTGGGATTTTATGATTTTACTGGGATTTTAATTCGATTTTAGAAGGATTTAATGGGATTTAGTGGGATTTAATCGGATTTAGTTGGATTTAATGGGATTTGAGTGGGATTTTATGATTTTACTGGGATTTTAGTTGGATTTTAGAAGGATTTAATGGGATTTAGTGGGATTTAATCGGATTTAGTTGGATTTAATGGGATTTTAGTGGGATTTTATGATTTTACTGGGATTTTAGTTGGATTTTAGAAGGATTTAATGAGATTTAGTGGGATTTAATCGGATTTAGTTGGATTTAATGGGATTTTAGTGGGATTTTATGATTTTACTGGGATTTTAGTTGGATTTTAGTTGGATTTAATGGGATTTAGCGGGATTTAATCGGATTTAGTTGGATTTAATGGGATTTTAGTGGGGTTTTATGATTTTACTAGGATTTTAGTTGGATTTTAGAAGGATTTAATGGGATTTAGTGGGATTTAATCGGATTTAGTTGGATTTAATGGGATTTTAGTGGGATTTTATGATTTTACTGGGATTTTAGTTGGATTTTAGAAGGATTTAATGGGATTTAGTGGGATTTAATCGGATTTAGTTGGATTTAATGGTATTTTAGTGGGATTTTGTGATTTTACTGTGATTTTAGTTGGATTTTAGAAGGATTTAATGGGATTTAGTGGGATTTAATCGGATTTAGTTGGATTTAATGGGATTTTAGTGGGATTTTATGATTTTACTGGGATTTTAGTTGGATTTTAAAAGGATTTAATGGGATTTAGTGGGATTTAATCGGATTTAGTTGGATTTAATGGGATTTTAGTGGGATTTTATGATTTTACTGGGATTTTAGTTGGATTTTAGAAGGATTTAATGGGATTTAGTGGGATTTAATCGGATTTAGTTGGATTTAATGGGAATTTTAGTGGGATTTTATGATTTTACTGGGAGTTTAGTTGGATTTTTTATGATTTTACTGGGATTTTAGTTGGATTTTAGAAGGATTTAATGGGATTTAGTGGGATTTAATGGGATTTTAGTGGGATTTTATGATTTTACTGTGATTTTAGTTGGATTTTAGAAGGATTTAATGGGATTTAGTGGGATTTAATCGGATTTAGTTGGATTTCATGGGATTTTAGTGGGATTTTATGATTTTACTGGGATTTTAGTTGGATTTTAGAAGGATTTAATGGGATTTAGTGGGATTTAATCGGATTTAGTTGGATTTAATGGGATTTTAGTGGGATTTTATGATTTTACTGGGATTTTAGTTGGATTTTAGAAGGATTTAATTGGATTTAGTGGGATTTAATCGGATTTAGTTGGATTTAATGGGATTTTAGTGGTATTTTATGATTTTACTGGGATTTTAGTTGGATTTTAGAAGGATTTAATTGGATTTAGTGGGATTTAATCGGATTTAGTTGGATTTAATGGTATTTTAGTGGGATTTTATGATTTTACTGGGATTTTAGTTGGATTTTAGAAGGATTTAATGGGATTTAGTGGGATTTAATCGGATTTAGTTGGATTTAATGGGATTTTAGTGGGATTTTATGATTTTACTGGGATTTTAGTTGGATTTTAGAAGGATTTAATAGGATTTAGTGGGATTTAATCGGATTTAGTTGGATTTAATGGGATTTTAGTGGGATTTTATGATTTTACTGGGATTTTAGTTGGATTTTAGAAGGATTTAATGGGATTTAGTGGGATTTAATCGGATTTAGTCTCTGGCCAAATTACTTTAATTCTTACCTCGTCTCCCTCGTGTCTTAATTTGTTCCCCATGATTACTGTCCTCGTTCGTTAATTTGCAGGTGCAAATTAAGGCTTTACCTCGTTAATTCGAACGAAGAAAGTAGCTTGTGGGCCTTCTTTCCAGGGTCCAACCCCAAGGAAAAAACTTTTCAGCTTCCGAAAAGTTTTTTTCCACGATCCACGGTCTCTTGCAGGGATGTTTAAATCTGAGTCTGATCGGTCTTTGCGCTTCTTGCGCTTGGGTGGTGACATCTCTGACGTTATCGCAGAGATGCAATGCTCTTCTGGAGCAACTCTGAATCTTTTTTTTCCTTCCTTGCCTGCTGACCGGCCTCTGGCGATAGAAAAAAAAACTTTTTGGGGCCTGAAAAGTTTTTTTCCTTCCTTGCCTGCTGACCGGCCTCTGGCGATAGAAAATAAAACTTTTTGGGGCCTGAAAAGTTTTTTTTCCTTCCTTGCCTGCTGACCGGCCTCTGGCGATAGAAAATAAAAATTTTTGGGGCCTGAAAAGTTTTTTTTCCTTCCTTGCCTGCTGACCGGCCTCTGGCGATAGAAAATAAAACTTTTTGGGGCCTGAAAAGTTTTTTTTCCTTCCTTGCCTGCTGACCGGCCTCTGGCGATAGGAAATAAAACTTTTTGGGGCCTGAAATGTTTTTTTCCTTCCTTGCCTGCTGACCGGCCTCTGGCGATAGAAAATAAAACTTTTTGGGGGCCCGAAAAGTGTTTTTTCCTTCCTTGCCTGCTGACCGGCCTCTGGAGATAGAAAACAAAATATTTTGGGGCCTGAAAAGTTTTTTTTCCTTCCTTGCCTGCTGACCGGCCTCTGGCGATAGAAAATAAAACTTTTTGGGGCCTGAAAAGTTGTTTGTCCTTCCTTGCCTGCTGGCCGGCCTCTGGCGATAGAAAATAAAACTTTTTGGGGCCTGAAAAGTTTTTTTTCCTTCCTTGCCTGCTGACCGGCCTCTGGCGATAGAAAATATTTTTTGGGGGGGCCTGAAAAGTGTTTTTTCCTTCCTTGCCTGCTGACCGGCCTCTGGCGATAGAAAATAAAACCTTTTGGGGCCTGAAAAGTTTTTTTTCCGTCCTTGCCTGCTGACCGGCCTCTGGCCCCCAAAAATGTTTTTCTAGCCAAGCCCAAGCATGCAACAGAACCAATGCAAGGCTACCTCGTCGAGGTCGGCTAATTCTGATGAGCAAATTAAGGGCTGACCTCGCTAATTCCTGCAACCTGCCTCGTTGCCTCGGCTGTCCTCGCTATAATTTGTGCATTTAATGGGATTTTAGTGGGATTTTATGATTTTACTGGGATTTTAGTTGGATTTTAGAAGGATTTAATGGGATTTAGTGGGATTTAATCGGATTTAGGTGGATTTAATGGGATTTTAGTGGGATTTTATGATTTTACTGGGATTTTAGTTGGATTTTAGAAGGATTTAATGGGATTTAGTGGGATTTAATCGGATTTAGTTGGATTTAATGGAATTTTAGTGGTGTTTTATGATTTTACTGGGATTTTAGTTGGATTTTAGAAGGATTTAATGGGATTTAGTGGGATTTAATCGGATTTAGTTGGATTTAATGGGATTTTAGTGGGGTTTTATGATTTTACTGGGATTTTAGTTGGATTTTAGAAGGATTTAATGGGATTTAGTGGGATTTAATCGGATTTAGTTGGATTTAATGGGATTTTAGTGGGATTTTATGATTTTACTGGGATTTTAGAAGGATTTAATGGGATTTAGTGGGATTTAATCGGATTTAGTTGGATTTAATAGGATTTTAGTGGATTTTATGATTTTACTGGGATTTTAGTTGGATTTTAGAGGGATTTAATGGGATTTAATCGGATTTAGTGGGATTTAATGGGATTTAATTGGATTTCATGATTTTAGTTGGATTTTAGTGGGATTTAATAGGATTTAATGGGATTTAAAGGGTTTAGTGGGATTTTAGTCGGGTTTAATGATTTTAGTGTGATTTTAGTCGGGTTTAGTTGGATTTAATGGGATTTAATTTGATTTTAATGGGATTTAATGATTTTAGTTCGATTTTAGTAGGGTTTTAGTGGGATTTAATAGGATTTAATGGGATTTAATGGGCTTTAATTGCCTAGTGGGATTTAATGGGGTTTAATGATGTTAGTGCGATTTTAGTGGGATTTAATTGGATTTAATGTTTAGTGGCATTTAATAGGATTTAATGGGATTTAATGGGATTTTAGTGGGATTTTAGTAAGATTTAATGGGATTTAATAGGATTTAATGGGGTTTAATGGGTTTAGTTGGATTTATTGGGATTTAATGGGACTTAATGATTTTAGTTGCGGTTTAATGTGATTTTAGGTGGATTTAATGGGATTTAATTGGATTTAATGGGATTCTAGTGGGATTTAATGAGTTTAGTTGGATTTTAGTGGGATTTAATGGGATTTAATTGGATTTAATGTGGCTTAATGGGATTTAATGTTTAGTGGGATTTAAAAGGATTTAATGGGATTTAGTGGGATTTTTGTTGGGTTTTAGTTGTGTTTAATGGGATTAGTGGGATTTAATGGGATTTAATAGGGTTTAGTGGGATTTAATGGGGTTTAAGTGGATTTAATGGGTTTAGTGTGATTTAATGGTGTTTGGATTTAATGAGTTTAATGGGATTTAATGATTTTAGTGTGGTTTTAGTAGGATTTAATGGGATTAAATGGGATTTCATTGTGTTTCATGAGTTTAGTGGGGTTTAGCGGTGCTTAATGGGATTTAATGATTTTAGTGGGATTTTAGTGGGATTTTAATCGGATTTAATGGGATTTAATGGGATTTAATTGGGTTTAATGGGATTTAATCGGATTTAGTGAATTTAATGGGTTTAGTGGGATTTAATGGGATTTAATTGGGTTTAATGATTTTAGTGGGGGTTTAGTGGGATTTAATAGGCTTTAGTTGGATTTAATGATTTTAGTTGGAATTTAATTGCATTTTAGTGGGGTGTAATGGGATTTAATAGGATTTAATCGGATTTAATGGAATTTAACGGGTTTAGTGGGATTTAATGGAATGTAGTCGGATTTAATGGGTTTAGTTTGGTTTAATGGGATTTAATTGGATTTAGTGGGGTCTAATGGTTTTTTTAGTGGGATTTTAGTGGGATTTAATGGGATTCAATGATTTTAGTGGGGTTTGATGGGATTTAATGGGGTTTGAGTGGGGTTTAATGGGATTTAATGGGTTTAGTGGGATTTAATGGGATTTTATTGGTGGGATTCAACTATGAATGACTATGAACCATCAAATTTATGGAAATACCCCATGTTCAGTTAGTCAAAAGCAGAACTGAAAACTGAGTCGGCCACAATTCCCTTGTCAGCATCATAGACAAGCTGAAGTACCCCAAAACCCTATGGATTGTTATCGTCTTCATTAAATATATTCAGTTTGATTCTATTTCCCCATATTTGGGGGTGCAAATCACCCTTTTCACACCCACCGCAATGACAAAGATTCGCCTCCAGACTTTGGAGCTTCACCCCACAATCTTCCAAGCGCGCTTCATGCAGCAGATTATGCCAGTCCTCACTTTTGTTGATCGACTGCAGATTCACCGCACTGAGGCTCTCCACCGTCTCCATGGTGCCGATGGTGCCGCTCCGACCAGCGCTGGTCGCAGGGCCGGCTCGGAGGGACTCGAGCGCATGGCTCAGGCCTAGGTCTGAGGTTTTCTCCGCATGGCTGATGTGTTTCCCACTGGGAGTGTAGGGTATCCAACGACCAGCCAAATGTGATGTATGAAAATCTCTACAGGTTGAGAGTGATGGCCCTCCCTGTGCTCAAAGTGGGATTTTCGATTCGACCCCTTATTATGTCATGCGGGTATGTCTCAAAGGCGGCTATCCAAAACAAAACATGGTGTGTGATAAATGTTCCCATCAAAAGGGAAAAATTGGGATATCCAACCTATTTTGGACAAAGCCATGCTCTGACTACCCAAGGCGCGGTGAAAGAGCTCCTCTTGCCGTTGGCGAATGATCTGGTCGATTTGCCTTGGCTCTCAAAGAATCTCGAACTCCACCGCAAAGCCAGTACTGTCGAAAAATAAACCATCCCTAAGATCCCCAACTGAGGTTTATTATTGGGTTTATGTCATAACTCATAACCTTTCCTATTCATCATGATGTTTCTATTATACCCCTGGTGTATCCCATACAATATTTCCGCAAAATGGTTGGTTTTATGGGGACCAGTTGGTCTATCTCGCTTTGATCAACTTTTGGTGGCGGAAATGGCTAGATAAGGATGTGAAAATGACCTATTTTCCCCTAAAAAGAATGGTTCCAATTGATTTACACTGGGTTGGAGCAACCCTGCTTCGCAAGTTCGCAACGACAAGACACAAGATCAAGGGGTCGGTAGGCACCTCACTGTTGAACCAGTCGAACAACGGCACTTTTGGTCCAAGGATCCGGAGCAATTTCGGTATAGTTCCCCCTATCAAACCAACACCGCACTCCTTCACTTTTGGAGATTACGGACACATTTGGAATAGAGAAAAACCCTCAGATCACTAGCTCAACTACCAAGAATTTGACTGTTTGCCATTTCAATCATGTGATGTTCACTGTTTGGAACAAGAGCGCAACTCACACTAGTCTTCGCTGCAACTAACTTGGAACATGGACCATCTGATTGCGATGTTTGCCAACTTTTGCATGAAAGAACGACTTTGATTCAACATGTTGCATGGGCGCGGCTGTTGCAAAAGGGTGCTGAGTCGACTGTTCCATTCACAGTAAATGCAACAATATCTCTAGCAACTTCAATTCCTTCCCAATTCAATGGAAAGCAAACCCATATATCGCCCTGCTGGTCAGGCGTCATCTTTCGAGGTAGGCTCCTTTCAGAATATTCAGCAAAGAAGGGATTGGACAGACTCGGATTTGGGCATGTCCCTCCATTTTTCTAGTGTTTCTGACTCAACAGTACTCAAAATCTCTGCACCCTTGGTGGGACCAGTGGACCAGTCCTCATTTTTCGCCATCCAAAATCCGGTTCACCAGATTTCCCAGAAGCCACTGAAAACAGCTGCAGGCATGATCCCACCATGAAACTTCTCCGCATCACAGCATAGATCCTTATTTCCGAAAACTTATTTTGTCAATAAGCATTGGAAGTTCTCCCTTGTCAATAAGTGGAAAGGATAGAACAGGATTATTGACAGGATTATTTGTGTGGAAGTTCCTTTTGAGAACATAGCTTATTATTGCGAATGGTGGCGTCATGTTGTTCTGATGTGTTGCACGACTGGCCCTGCCGGCGCAGCAAAAAAATCATGGTCATGTCACATGCGCCCTGTTTTTTCTCACTCCAGTCTTGGCTTCTTGGCCTGCAAGAAAAGAAATGAGGAAGCAAGGGCAAGCAGGTTGCAGAAGAACTTCAGATCATTTGTCCGCCTACTAGCTGTAGACCGACACGGTCATACTCTCCCTCAAACTTCAAATCAACGTCCCCATTCGACTGTATGCCGTTTTGGGGTCTATTGGGAATATACAAAAAACTATGGAAAATCACCATGTTTAATGGGAAAATTCACTATTTCTCTGGCCATTTTCAATAGCTATTTTGACATAACCAGAGGGTACTCCGAAAGCAAACAATGGAAATGATCTGGCTGGGTCATCTTGACATAATCCACCACCGGACGAGTTCCCCAAATTGTTGGCCGCCTCTGGTTCTTCCGCTCCTGCACACAGCACATCGCTTTTTGCTCCGAATTTTGACTTCCAAATTGGGGTATCAATATACAATAACAAACATAATGGACGCGGAAAATTGGTAGTGTTTCGTCCTAAACACTTCATTTTGGGGGATGATAAGTTTTTCACATCGCCGACTGAACCATCATCTTTCCCAGTCTCATGCTTGTGCCGCCCTCCATTGCTCCTTCCCAAGACAATAGTACTGCAACGGTCGCCACTTCTGATGCTTTTGCTTTCTCCTTTCTGACGCAGCAATGGGGCAGCAAAAAAAATACATCCAAGTTCATCCGTCAATTTAATTCAAGACTCTGATATATGTATATACAATTATATACATACGTCATATACGTCATATACGTCTATTTGTACATGGTGGTATTCAAGCTTCTTCAGATCATCTGCCTGCTGCACCCAGTTGGCTTCACCTTTACATGCCTGCGGCCGCGACACGTGACGCACGTGACGCGTGGCGAAAATGGCCAGCTGCCAGCTTCCAATGGATTAAGACCTCATGTTCCCAGTTCCCAAGCCATCAGTTCGAGGTAAATCAGCCATATTCATGTACCCATATCATCCCATATCCATCATTGCCATCATATCCGCGATTCATTGAATGTGCAGCTCGAGCCTCCTTCAGGCGTTCTTTCGCTTGCCTGGCTGTTTCAACCCATACAACAACATACAACAACAACTTTTAGTTATTGGGCATCATCATCATCATCATCATCATCACCATCATCATCATCATCATCATCATCCCGGGTCGAAAAGTATATGAACTTTGTGTGTCAGATCACCAACCACTGGGTTAGTTAGGGTTAGTTGTGGCTCATGCTGATGAAAATCTCCAATTGTATCGGCTTAAAAAACTTTATTAATTGGTTGGCCGCCCCATTTTGTTAGTGAATGTTACTACTCAAATACTACTCCCATCTTCGAACCCCACACTTCCGTATGATTATGGGAAGCTCTCATCAGCCAGGGGGTCCTGGCTGATTTTCCCATGGGATTTTTGCGTGTCAATCATAAATATATACTATCTCATCATACAAGGTGGTGCGCCCCCCAGTTATTAATGGGCTATAGCCCCATGACATATTGGACTATAAGCCAACTTAGCTAACTATATGACTATAAATAACCTATAAACCAATAATGGGCAATATATAAACCAACTTAGTTATAATGGGCTATATATCACCTCTAAACCATAGTGAAATTGGACTTATTGGCACCAACTTAGCTAACTATCTGGCACCACCCTGTAAATATGCATATGACACATTCCAACCCAAAATATGTGGAACATGTGGTAAAACCAGCTTCAGCGGACTCACAGCCGAGCGGCTCTGCGAGCACCTCACTGGCTTTCGCAGCATCTGGCGCCAGAGCCTGCAAACGAACTCCCCTTAGAAATGGCAGTCAAAGAGAACATCATTACACACTACAGACAAATATACATATGTAATTATATTTCTGTATATAATTTATATATACATATATATATATATACATATATAGATATAGATATAGATATAGCTCCATCTATGGCTATATATCCGCCGACCCCTGCCTAGCTTTGGCCTAGGCGGGGCGGCGCCTGGGATCACCGCAGGTGTGCACCTGTGGCCTGCTAGAACGACTAGGCCTGCCTCAGCTCACCTCTCTGGCTTTTGCAAGCTGCCTGGGCATGTATCTTTAAGGGGTTTCGAAACTGCTCGGCCTGCTACGGCCTCCTTGCCTCACTCCAGCCTTCCAAGGTGCTTGGTCATGTATCTTTAAGGGGTTTCGAAACTGCTGGCACGTTTTAGCCAGGCTTGAAAAGCCTTAAAACCCCAACCTCAAACAGCTCCAGCCTTCCAAGCTGCTTGGGCATGTATCTTTAAGGGGTTTCGAAACTGCTACGTGGCACTTTTTAGCCAGGCTTGAAAAGCCTTAAAACCCCAAAAACCTCAAACAGTGTAAAACTAGCCTGCTTGTGTCAGCACGAGCCTGCATCTGTCGATGGTCGCCCTGCTTCAGCCGCCCAACTGGGTCTATTTTGGGTCTATATACGGCACAGCCCTTGCCTCACCTCACCGCTCTGGCCCCTCCAAGCTGCCTGGGCATGTATCTTTAAGGCGTTTCGAAACTGCTAAGCTGCCTGGTCATGTATCTTTTGCCTCACGTCTCTGGCCTGCTACGGCCTCCTTGCTTCACTCCAGCCTTCCAAGCTGCCTGCTCATGTATCTTTAATATAAGGGATTTCGAAACTGCTACGTGGCACGTTTTAGCCAGGCTTGAAAATCCTAAAAACACCAAAAGCCTCAAACAGTCTAAAACTAGCCCGCTTGTGTCAGCACGAGCCTGCATCTGTCGACGGCCGTCCTGCTTCAGCCGCCCAACTGGGTCTATTTTGGGTCTATATACGGCACAGCCCTTGCCTCACCTCACCGCTCTGGCCAAGCTGCCTGGGCATGTATCTTTCAGGCGTTTCGAAGCTGCTAAGCTGCCTGGTCAGGTATCTTTTGCATCACGTCTCTGGCCTGCTACGGCCTCCTTGCCTCACTCCAGCCTTCCAAGGTGCTTGGTCATGTATCTTTAAGGGGTTTCGAAACTGCTACGTGGCACGTTTTAGCCAGGCTTGAAAAGCCTTAAAACCCCAAAAACCTCAAACAGCTCCAGCCTTCCAAGCTGCTTGGTCTTGTATCTTTAAGGGGTTTCGAAACTGCTACGTGGCACGTTTTAGCCAGGATTGAAAAGCCTTAAAACCACAAAAACCTCAAACAGTGTAAAACTAGCCCGCTTGTGTCAGCACGAGCCTGCATCTGTCGATGGCCGCCCTGCTTCAGCCGCCCAACTGGGTCTATTTTGGGTCTATTATACGGCACAGCCCTTGCCTCACCTCACCGCTCTGGCCCCTCCAAGCTGCCTGGGCATGTATCTTTAAGGCGTTTCGAAACTGCTCAGCTGCCTGGTCAGGTATCTTTTGCCTCACGTCTCTGGCCTGCTACGGCCTCCTTGCTTCACTCCAGCCTTCCAAGCTGCTTGGGCATGTATCTTTAAGGGGTTTCGAAACTGCTACGTGGCACGTTTTAGCCAGGCTTGAAAAGCCTTAAAACCCCAAAAACTTCAAACAGTGTAAAACCAGCCCGCTTGTGTCAGCACGAGCCTGCATCTGTCGACGGCCGTCCTGCTTCAGCCGCCCAACTGGGTCTATTTTGGGTCTATATACGGCACAGCCCTTGCCTCACCTCACCGCTCTGGCCCCTCCAAGCTGCCTGGGCATGTATCTTTAAGGCGTTTCGAAACTGTTAAGCTGCCTGGTCAAGTATCTTTTGGGTCACGTCTCTGGCCTGCTACGGCCTCCTTGCCTCACTCCAGCCTTCCAAGGTGCTTGGTCATGTATCTTTAAGGGGTTTCGAAACTGCTACGTGGCACGCTTTAGCCAGGCTTGAAAAGCTTTAAAACCCCAAAAACCTCAAACAGTGTAAAACTAGCCCGCTTGTGTCAGCACGAGCCTGCGTCTGTCGACGGCCGCCCTGCTTCAGCCGCCAACTGGGTCTATTTTGGGTCTATATACAGCACAGCCTTGCCTCACCTCACCGCTCTGGCCAAGCTGCCTGGGCATGTATCTTTAAGGCGTTTCGAAACTGCTAAGCTGCCTGGTCATGTATCTTTCGCCTCACGTCTCTGGCCTGCTATGGCCTCCTTGCCTCACTCCAGCCTTCCAAGATGTACAAAAAACCCTGCGCACATGCGCATGCAACGCGATCTGTGCCCAAGACCATTAACAGGGGTCGGCGGCACCAGGGCGTTAGCCCATTTATCTATAGCTCTATCTTTAGATCTATCTTTCTTGCGTATACAGAATATGTTACAAAAAATATCTATACGGACCTGTGCACGCCCGAAACTCATCAGCCAATGCCTCGGCAATGGCACCGATGTCCTGGAAAAACACGAAAAACCGCTACCATCTTTAGCCATGGTTTCCCTGGAATGCTTGAGATTTTTGAGATATTTTGGAGTCATACCCTCTGGTAAACTAACATAACTATGGAAAATCACCATTTTTAATGGGAAATTCCACTATAAATGGTCATGTTCAATAGCTATGTTAAATTACCAGAGGGTATCTCTTTGTATTCTATAATCATTACCAAGGCTATAATGAAAGATATTATATCTACAGGTTTTGGGGGATTTTTCCGGGCCCTGCAGGGGCTCAAAAAAAAAAACATTACAGGTCTCCAGGTCACCCAGGCAGCTCCTGCGGCGTAAAGCCAGACCCGAAAAGTCCAGCTGTGCCCAGAATCACCAAAGAGTGATCGCCTTGGTGAATCAACGACGCCAAAACAGCCGTTTTTCAACTGCCAATCTGTGGAAATCATGCTGAATATGTTCAGTTTGGTCAAACAGATGGGGTAGAGTTTATCCAATATGGGGCTGGATCAATACCTACTATAATCCATCATAATCCCCATATGTGTTATCATAACATGGGAACATATGGGAACTAATACCATATTTTCAGTACTAGACTTCAAATGTTTGAGTATTCATACCATATGTTTATTGGTCATGAATATCCGTGGCTCATCGGCGAATCCCAACGATGGAGGTGAAGAGAAGCGGAAAAGACCAGGTAAAGACCAGGTCGCCGGGCCCTCCTTCAGCTGTACAACCTGCGACCACTTCAACAACTGTGTCCACAAATACTTACTGGTGCGTTTTACGTAGGGAATGGATGGGTTGCTGGGGTTTGCTGGGATCATTATGAATAATTATTATGGATCATTCCCGAAAATTTCCTCATTCCCTACGTTTAGCACCAGTCATATCTTGCGGAAAATGAAAATCCTGTGGTGGTTTGATAATCATTCGATATCACCATTACAAAATCACCACAAGATGTTAGGGAATCACTAAAAATCATTATTATTAATGGTTATTAATGGATATATATATATATATCACCATAAGAATCACCACAAGTAGGCACATCCTGTCGTTTTTGTGAATCTTCCCCATCTGATGAAAACCCATTTCGCCATTTCTGGTCAGTGCCTCCACCAGCAGATCCTGATGCTGGAAGCCGTTGGGATCAGAGCAATCCATCTTGATATTGCTTGCTTTATGATGAAACCGGCTACAGATAGATATGATTAGAATTCATTAGATATGATACCCGGCCTGGCAATTTGTTACAGTTTGCGAACTTGAAAATGGCCCGGTCGAAATAGTTGATTTTCCCATTAATAGCTATGGTGGATCTGTCCATAGTTTTTTGTTAACGTTTACCAGGCCGGCTACTCATCATGACATGACACCGATGTGGCGACCAGCTTGTTACCAACCGCGCTGAGATCGTCCCGCAGCGATCGTTCATAGAGGATTGGTTTGTTGGGGAAAATCTTAACCGGTTAAACTACCATGGGTTTTACCATCAAATATAGGGCTAGGGCTTTCCTGGAACAATTTTCCCATCCAATTCTATGAATCATAGTAGCATTCTTCCTTTCAGGTCCTTTGAAATCTTTGAAGTATAGAGCCCTTGGCCCCTAAAAAAGAAACGCTTCAGTATCCACTGTTAGGGGAATAACCCAACATGTCCATGTCTCAAACAAAACCGTTTCTTCTCAATCATGTTTATGCCTGCGGACCGAAAACCGTTCCCGTAAAACGCGCGTTTTTGAATATCTGGATTTTGGGGTGGGGTGGGGTGGGGTGGGGGGGGAACGTTCCTTGTACTTCGTACCTGATATATTGCTACGCTGCTGAGATCTCTGGGATCGTTTACTACGTTACATGTTGCTACGCTGCTGAGACCTCTAGTGTGGGGTGGGGTGGGGTGGGGGGGGGATGTTAACGTTCCTTGTACTTCGTACCTGATATATTGCTACGCTGCTGAGATCTCTGGGATCGTTTACTACGTTACATGTTGCTACGCTGCTGAGACCTCTAGTGTGGGGTGGGGTGGGGTGGGGGGGGATGTTAACGTTCCTTGTACTTCGTACCTGATATATTGCTACGCTGCTGAGATCTCTGGGATCGTTTACTACGTTACATGTTGCTACGCTGCTGAGACCTCTAGTGTGGGGTGGGGTGGGGTGGGGGGGGATGTTAACGTTCCTGTACTTCGTACCTGATATATTGCTACGCTGCTGAGATCTCTGGGATCGTTTACTACGTTACATGTTGCTACGCTGCTGAGACCTCTAGTGTGGGGTGGGGTGGGGTGGGGGGGGATGTTAACGTTCCTTGTACTTCGTACCTGATATATTGCTACGCTGCTGAGATCTCTGGGATCGTTTACTACGTTACATGTTGCTACGCTGCTGAGACCTCTAGTGTGGGGTGGGGTGGGGTGGGGTGGGGGGGGATGTTAACGTTCCTTGTACTTCGTACCTGATATATTGCTACGCTGCTGAGATCTCTGGGATCGTTTACGACGTTACATGTTGCTACGCTGCTGAGACCTCTAGTGTGGGGTGGGGTAGGGTGGGGTGGGGGGGGATGTTAACGTACCTATATAACGCGCCGCAAGTTTTTCCAGGCTTTCCAATCATCAAATTGGCACGGCACTGTGGTAAAATCACCATTTTTTTAAGCGATGACGCTGAAAAAGGAAAAAACGCGCCCCAAGTTTTTCCAGGATTTCCAATCATCAAATTGGCACGGCACTGTGGTAAAATCACCATTTTTTAAAAAAATGTGCGTTTTATGGGAACGGTTTCCGGTCCGGCGGGATGTTTATGTCACACGATTGTTTTGTTTAAACTCCTCATGTTTGGTTGGCAAAAAAACACATTTTGGTTCGTGACGGTTGTTGACAACTGGATGGTTTCAGATCCTTTACCAACCATCAAGATGGTAGATGTTTTGTTGGCAAAATCCCAATATTGTTCCAACAAGATCCATTTTCCGATCTCTTTCAAAAAATTGGGCTGCGGCTACCGCTTTTGAGTGATTTTTTGGGGGGTCTCCCACTTCAAGGAGTCCCCAAATGATACTAAACAGCCGCTAAGAAATGATAGTCTATGTTCTCTGCCGGATTGGCAACCCCTCTCAGCCACTCGATCCATGTTCAAGAAATCCCCATACCCAGCATGTCATTCCAACTAGATCCTTATGATTCTAATGGACCAAACTGACCAAACCTCCCAATCCTTGATGGTTGTTGTATGCTCAAGAATGTGAGACATTGATTTATCAACCAACGAGTTTGATGGGTGTTTTTCCATGCATTTCTGTTCGTAAAATCCTGGTTAAAGCATCATGTTTCTTTTATTGAAAATCATCCATCGATTCCCCTTTTTTGCCTCATACCGTAATACCCCCAGGATGGTTCCCCCCATTGGTACCACTTGCAAAAGAGTCCACACGTTTGATGTTTAAATCCCCAACTTGGGATGGTCAAATCAGGTCAAAATTCCCAATTTTCGGGGCTTTTCATAAAGTAAATCTCCAATTTTTGATGATTGAAATCCATGAAATCCCCAATGGAAATCATGGAAAAATCCCATTGGAAATCTCTCATTTTTCATGCTTCATCGGCTTCACCCCTCCATTTTTGGGACGATTTCCCATGAAATCCCCAGGCAGCTCCTCCGATCGCAGCTTCTCCAGCGCTTTGCCGCTGGCCACCGCCATACTCTGCGCCTTCACTGCTGCGGCACCCGCCGCGGCCACCGCTTGTGAGCCGGGGCGCTTGCCGCCTGGGAGAGCCACCTGGGATCAAGACATGGACCGCTTGGGGATGGGTTTATGTCATGTTTGGGTTTAGAAATAGCTATGGTATATCTGTGATATAGTTAAACTATAATTGAAATAACTATGGGTTGATTTTATAACTATGATCTCTATATATATATTTACATTATAGAGAGAGAGAGAGAGTCTTATATATAGTATATCTATGATATAATTGTGGGATACTTGGGGTTTACGTCATCATATTGGGGGTTCATATGGGTTTGTTGGGTTTGGAAATAATATAACTATGGTTTATGGTAGATATATTATCTACAGTATATCCAATGGAGGCTATAAACCAACTTAGACTTGGGGGTGCTGCCAATTTTTATCGACGTAACTATGGTAATATCCTCCACAAGTTGGGATATTGGTCTCTACATCTATGGTGAAATGCAGCCCACTTATTAGCAGTGTGGTTCTGGAACCGAACCGCGAACCGCGAAACGAACCGGAAACATAGAACCGAACCGGAACCGAACCAACCATCCAGTTCCTGGAAAGCGAAAACGAAACGAAACGAACCGACCCCCATCCTGTTACTAGTGGAATTGCACCCCTAAGCGCAGAAATTGGGAATCAATGGGGAATTAAGCCAACAATTTGATGGGATGGTTGGAACTATTTGGAGACTCAAGCATCAAATCTAGCAATGCGCGGGGGAACATGTTAGGAAAGATAGAAAACGGTGAGAAAATATGGGAAAAGCTTACTGTTTAGAGATTTCTTTGAGGAAATGTTGGTCAAAATCCCAACAATTAAATAATTAAGTGAAAAGTATCGGGAAAACATCTGTAAATGGGGTTGTCCGAAGATCCCCCAATTAAAAGATAATACAGAGAATCAGTTCCCACCTTCTGCATTGAAATTTCGGAGTATTCCCCTGTTTTTTAATCAAAAAACCATTGTAAGGTTGGAGCTTGAATCGTCCAGAATATGCAAGTCAAGTATCAATATATTAATATTGGATAATATTGGGTATTATATTAGTCCAGAATATAATAACTATAACCTAGAATATTCAGGAAAATAAACACATTCAATAAATCTTCGAAACCACCAGTGCTATGTTTCAGTGGATCTTTTCGCAAATCCACCTGGGGATCCATGCCGAGCCCCCAATCTGTTGGGTTGGCACCCTTGCCTCGGTTTCTGGATGAAAAAGGCAGTGGGTTGGTCGTGGAAGGTCAGGGTCTTGTCATAAATATCCACATTTCCTCAAAACCAGTGGAAAAGATTAATAAAGCATGGCTGATTCTTGGCCGCCTTGGCCTTTTAAACTGCACCACAGCATCTTCTGCTCTCCGACATGACAATCCTCGCAAAAACTATTGCAAAATTGGCAATGTTCAGCTGATTCAGCCCACCTGTTCCTTTATCCGACAAATAAAATCAAGTATCAAATCAGGAAATGTTGGAGTCGGTTGGAGATTGATTTTTGTAGGTACCAAACCCTAAACCTTCACCTCACCAACTCTGTCATTGAATGACATCGATGTTTTCTTGGGAAACTCTCATTCATCACCTGCAACAAAAACAACCCAAATTGGAACCATGTTCAAACCCAAATCAAAAAAGTTTGCTGAATGATATCCCCAATGAAGGACCCATGATATACATTGATCTGGGTAAATTATAATATTTCACCAACCTGAATCTTAAGGCCATTTGGGGATCATTTCCCTTACTAACCATGATTCCAGTGAGGGAGAACAGTGAGGTCGTTATAATTTACCCAGATTGATATACCACATTAGATCACCATTTCTTCGCCAAATCTCAGTGCCCCACTCGCAGCCGCATCAGCGCCTTGGCGCGTTTCTGCTGGGGCGTCTCTTTGGAGGAACGCCGCAGCACGCCGTCCTCGCGTTTTTCGTGGCTTCGAAAGTGCCAGGAAAGTCGAATTTTTCTAATCATAGCAATAATAGTAACAATCATACCAATAATAAGAATAATAACAATGATAATAATGATAATGATAATGATAATGGTAATGATAATGATAATGGTAATGATAAATACTCAAATTGTTCAGACAATCCTGGTGTTTGATGGGTAGAATCAACATCGTTGATGGATAAATCATCCCGAATTCAAGTCAAAAAAACATGACTCGTGTTCAAAAAGATGGTGTCAAAATATGTAATTCCCATGCTTGATGGTTAGAATCTTCATTTTTCATGGGGGAATCTCATTAAATCCAAAAAAAATGGTACGGTTCGATCGATCCTCATGTTGGCGATCGAAATCCTTATAGTTTTCACGCTAAAAAAAATCGATGCTTCTCCTGGTTTTATTAAAATCACGATGTCCCATGAGTCCCCTGGCTTCACTGTGCCGCTGGGCCTTCCCGATCTCACTGCTGGTGGTGGAGTCAGCAGCAGCTTCTGCCAGACCCTTGCCCCAAAGTGTACCTCGAGGTGGAGATCTGTGTATCCATGAGAAGATCAGATTAGATCAGATGATTTGGATCTATATCTAGATGATTGGATAGCTTAGATCAGATTGGATTGGATCTGAATCGTCCAAAAAGTGTTGAAAAGCATGTGCTTTTAGCACTGGAAACCAAGGGTTGGATCTCGAATTTGGAGTCTCACCAGTTTAGATTTTGTTTCGAAGCCGGAATCTGAGCTGAGTCAAGTACCGACGCAACTTCCAGCAATCACGACGAAAAGCTGACAGCCTACCTGAGCCAATCAAATCATGGCTCGGAAAATGGTAAAATGGAGGTATCAACTATTTCCCGTCATAAGATTTCATAAGATTTCATAGGATTTCATAAGGGATCCTCAAATCCAACTATTTCCCTATCCAGACAGATCCAAGGCAACGCGAACACTTCAAAACACTGAGCTTCTTGCAAATAGCGCTGCAACACCTCAATGGATTCGGCGCGGGGAATCCTTCGTGTCCCATTGGTGGTTTCCAAAGTCATGGGGCTACCCTCAGTCATCCATTTTTGTGGCTGGGATTTCCTATTTTTTTCACCATCCATCTTTGGATACCCCCCATGACTATGGAAACCCTCATATATTGACCCCATGATTTCCTATGATTTTCCTATGGTTTTCCCATGATTTTCCCCATTTTTTTTAGGAAACCCCCGACTGAAACCCCTATGACTGACATCCCGGACCGCTGCAGCCAGGTGCTCCAGGACGTTGGTCCCGCAGTTCGGAATCCTGATCATCGTACAGCTGGAGAAATATTAAAACCAATGTGTGTATATGTATAAATATATATATATATGTATACTGTGTATGTATATATATATATATATATATGTGAGTGCACTATAGGAAGGCTACATTTGGCTATGTCATTGTACCCAGAATTGTCCTACACTTTGGGGCTGTTTGGGGCTGCGCAGCTGTGATGTTTTTTCGCAGAAAATATTGATGTTTATTCAAAAAATCTTGATTATTTTCAACTGCCCAATTTAGATGAAGATATGGAGGTAGCCTTGCTCCTCAAAGTTGTGAAAGGCACTCAGTACCAATGACGTAGCCAAATGTAGCCTTGCTATAGTGTACCCAGATATATGAATATATGTAATCATATAAATATAAGTATACATATATATATATTGTATATTATATATATAGAGAATGATATGCAAAGATTTAAAAAAGCTCTCAGCTGGTGAAAAAGCTCTCCATCATGGGACAGGACCTGATTCTCTGCTGAGGCACCAAATCCACCACAGCACTGCTCAGCGCAGCGCTCAACGCCTTTTGTTCAGCGCTTTTGAGGCGCCTGGGCTGGGAGAACTCGGAGAACTCGGAGAAGCCCAAAATCCCCGTGGTGTTTCATCATTCTCCCCCTTCAAACGTCCGTTTAACATGGGGTATCCCCCCCCCAATTTTAGAAGACAAAGCATGAGAAAGGCGCACACGAGATTCAGCAAAAGTCCAAAAAAAAATGTGCGCATTTTTTTTTGAAATATGCAAAGATATTCAAATGGTGATGGGTCAAAAAGCCCTGTACCTCTGGCAAAACAAAACGGGTGGGAAATACATATATATATATTCATCTCGTCACTGGCTAGTAACCCTGGTTAAGTTAAGTCTCCCTTTCATGGCCTATCCCGTAAACGGGTGAACTAAAATTATACGGAACCGAATCGGTGCCTCAGCAGCCGAGCGTGCAAATTCTTCGCACAGTGCTCAGCAGCACCTGGGTCTCCATCAAAGGCAAGCAGCAAGCAAGTGGGTTCCTGGACGGCAGAATCTGCTGCGATTACCGTGAGGATGGAGGGTTAAAACTTAAAACCAACAAAAGGAGTGTGTAATTAGCGCTACAATGAGTGAAAAGTGGACTGATTTGACAAACAAAAATTGGCTATTGTGATTTCTCAACTTAGCAGTTGTATCGGGGATATAATGGGATACATGACAAACAATATAATATGGGTCTAGCGAGCAAAAAATGGGGTAAACATTCCCATGCTTCAAGCAGGCACTGGGTGTGTCCTGAAATGTTGCACGGTATACCAGTTCTCATGGTGAAAACGACAATAAACAACTGAATTTGAACATGTTTTTGGACAACTGATCGAAGTTTTCAAAGGACTATGACTATGCCTTTGGTTTGGAAAATAAACATGTCTATATAAGTTTTATGGTTTCTCAGTTCTTCCTGGATCCGTGAAGCAAGCTTCTCTTTTTTGAAGGGGAAACATCTGTACCAGTCCTGTAGTCCTCAACACTTTTGACGCAGCACTCGTTTTGCGACACGCAACCCGTTTTGCTAATGTGAACCACAACTTTTGTCAATAACTATTTATCATAATCCCTATTTAACAAGCTATACATATATATATACTATATACTATATATAGTATAAGCTAATGGTTAGAAAAAAACATCATAATCCCTATAGAACGTTGGGGGAACCACTGTACCAGCCCTGATGAATCCAGCCCAATGAAAACCACCACGGCCGGCACCGTCAAAGGCCATGGCTGCTTCATGGCAGCTGCAACCTTCGCAAGATCTCGAATGAGGACATGTCGAATCGGTGCCTGAAAGGTGTCTCGTTGTTTTTTAAAAATGGAGAAAGGTGGGGATGGGTCAAAACCCTGTACCCCTGTAGTTCACATCAAAATAGCTGGGATTTATGGATGTGAATAACCCCCTAAAAATGGTATTAATAGGTATTGACTCATAGCCAGGTTGGCTGCAGAAGTCTCAGCACCACACAGACGAGTTTGCTGACTTTGGCACTAGAATCTCAACAGAGATGCTCCATGATGTTCCAGCTACCTGGGTGTGTCTGAAAGTGGTAAAAATGATCATAAACCATGGGACTATCAGACACATCCATGTTTATCTGATCCTTATCTTTATTCACTTGCTGTTTCAGAGAATCGTTTGGAATCTGCAACCACCAAGCTCTGCAATGTCACAACTCACCTTGGTCTTCGCATCAGAAGGCAAAGTACAGAAGGCTCCAGTTGCCAAAGTGGGAAATTCCACCATGGCACAGCTACAATCTCCGCCCCAGTCTATGTTGATGGCACAGCTTCGTCTAAAAATCTTATGGAAAAAAACAAAATCCAATGGCCTATCATCATGTTCTCACTATGGCCTGAAATGTGGCAAAACTCACCCGCTTTCAGGCAGCCCCATATAGATATCTTCCACATTGAGGTGAAAATGGCGGTCAGACTTTACAGGATGGGCCAAGTTGAATCGTCGAACATAGCACACCCCAAAAAGATGCCACGAAAATCCGACGAAAGTCGTGGTAAGTTTAATCTGTTCAATCTTTTCGGGCATTCCCATAGATTGGACAAATCAGTTCGGATTGCAGCACCTAGGGGCCTAGGGGTCACAGTTTTCCATTGCTGTCGGCGAATGCTTTGGCCAGGCTGCAGAAAGGTTCAGAATCCACTGTGCAAGGCGTTGATCTGAGATCTGATTTGAAGCATATCTGATTGTTCAAGCTGAAATCTGATTTGGATGCTAAGAACCATGATTTTTTACATCTGATTTGAACAATCAAAATCAATTCCACTGTTCGAGGATGAAAGCGGGACATTGAGCCTTCCAGACCATTGCCTCTTCTGGCCTGACCAAAGGCTTGACGTTTCCCAATCCAAGTGCAAATTGGGCTATCCTCCAGTAGTCAAACGTGGCGTGCTTGAAAATCCACCATTTATAGAAGATGGTCCTTTGAAATTTTGAAACCTCCATTTATAATAGTGGATTTTCCAGCACGCCGTGTTCATGTTTGCACCGGAAGTTTCTTGTTTTGGCTGGCCGATGGGCACCGGGATCGTTTAGGTCATTTCTGGGGCGATCATTGGGCCCATGTTTCTGGCGGCCTTGCCCGCCACTGGAGTTCTCAAACTATGGCCGTTTTGACAGCATGATCAAACTACTGTTCGGAACAGAAACCATCAGAATGCGCTGGAATGACAGTGGCGGGGCTTACAAAGATATTTTTTGCCATGTTTCAAGGCATGTTTCAAAATAGCTTCATTAGCCATTACCCTTCTTGATGCTACACATGCTAAAAACTCGCCATGATTCCACCTGTCCCTTCCCCCTGAGATTGGTTCATCCCATAGACCCTGCGGGGTAAACATCGATGTGGAAAATGATGGCCCATAAATTGGATGAATTACCTATCACAATGGTGATTTTCCACATCTATGTTACTTCGCCCCAGAGTATTAAAAAAAAACAAAACATAGTTTCCATTCAACACAGGAGTCAGCGAGTCAGCGTGCCAGCGCTGTGTAGCCTCCGCCTCCTTTTGCCGGCATGATAGAGACAGGCCCCCCTTGAGCAGGCGCCGGCCTCTTGACACCTGCAGCAATCGATCGTGAATTTGTGGCCATTTTTTTAAAGGCAGGTGCTCAGTCATGATGAACCAAAGGATGGTTTTTTGGTATGGGGTGTTTCTGACGCAAAAAGTATGAAAAATTCACATGTATCCATGTTCCAGGAACGTGGTTTCCTTTTCGAAGAAAAAAGTCAACTGGAAATCATGGTAGCAGCTGGTAGCAACCCATGGATGTAAATCCTGAAAACCCTACAGCAGACTGAGCTTCATCCAGTCATCCAGTGAAGCTCAGGAGATGTGAGAAATTTTCGGACAATCTGTGGACCAAGTCAGGCCTTGCACCAGGTCAGGGTTTTTTGTTGCTTCGCTTCAAAAGATTTCAGCGAGAAGATACTTCAACATAGCTATGGAAAATGGCCAATCTATAGATTATTTACCCTCTGGTAAACTAACATAACTATGGAAAATCACCATTTTTCATGGGAAAACTCACTATAAATGGCCATTCTCAATAGCTATGTTAGTTTACCAGAGGGTACCTATTAAACATGGTGATTTTCCATAGCTGTGTTACGGGCGATGTTAAAATACCAGAGGCTAACTACAGACCTTTTTTCCGGAGTACCAGGGCACCAGGGTCTTGACCATTCGGCAGGCCTTGGGCAGAGGTGTCAAATGTATAGTAAACCCGTAAACCCCAATGAGATAGGAAAGTACTTTCCCATCCATCTAGGATTTTGAGTCTAGGATTTTGAGGAGTTGCTGATGATCTTTACAGAAACGTCACCAAAGCCCCGGGTTTTTGTCGAAAACCGGGCCTCGACGCGAACCGTAGGTGTTGGGGCCCGGTTGTGTTTCGCCACTGCTGTTCCAGTTCAGAAAGAACTCCCTGGAGCGAACTGCCAAACCTCTTGGGTAAATCGCGGGCCTCACTCTATCCACTGGTGATTCATCATGTTCTCTGTTAAATGGCCATGATTGGAGGGATACCCCATTTTCAGACAGGCCCATATGGTGGTGATTGAATCAGGTTATCATAAGTTTAAGCGCGAAAGTAGAAAGATATCCGACTTCTAATGGTTGAATTTCATGGGGATTTCCAGTTATGGATTATCATCCCAGTATCTTCAAAAAAATGAAACTACTCAAATGAACACCGAAAAGGCACTTGCGTCCGGGAGTTTGGACCTGGTTCACACTGTAAACTATACACTCGCTGAAAAAAGGAGCCAAAGACTCACAGACTCTAGAACTTGATTTTCTGTAACCTACACTTTGACCACCCAAAAAACCATGGACCACAAAAAGAAGACAAACTTCCTGTTTTCCATGGGAGCTCCCCATCCCTCCCATGGCTCCCTGGGTTCCCATCCTGACAGCTTCCTGCAAAAACTCCCAGTCACGTGGTGGGCGACCAATGCTCTGAGTCAACACCTGGATTTGGTGAGAAAAGAGTGGAGCTGTAGTCATGGAGCTCCAGGCTTTAGTCATGGAGGGTACCCCCAGAGATCATCCAAGTCATTTTTGACCATCTGAAAGTATTGAAATCCATGGTTTCAAGAAACCCCCATATCTTGCGGCTTAAGAATATGTGTTTGTTGATGTCATGTTGGTAGCATGTAGAAACTCTTCGATCTCCAAAAATCTGAAAGATTGATACTCATTGGATCTGGTTGGTGGATTCAACCCCCTGGTGTTTTTTTTGGTTGGTATCATCATCCCATTTCCATGCTTGAAAACGCAAAAACATGGAACCACCAGTCAATCATCATTTTCCATCGTTTCCGCTAGTAAAAAAGAAAAGTTGCAAATTGAAACACCAATGACTGATGTGGATCAAAACCTGCTGAAGCTCCATAAACTCACTCAGCTGCCAGCTCCCGGTACACAGGAAAATGGGTGCTCCTGCTGCGCTGCAGCTGCAAACGTGTGGAGTCAGAAATATCCAAAAAACGACTTCCCAAGCACCGATTTCTGAGTCAGAATGTCCCTGATATGGAGAAATATCCTCAAAGAACTTCATCACTTCACTTCTGCTGAGACAGAAAAGATCAATGCTGAGAGCTGGGACAATTCCTGCCTCTCCAAAGGGTGCCAAGAGTTCTTGGAATAGCATCGCCTGTCATGACATGAGACCCACGCGGAGACACTTACGGTGTTCGCTGCACTTGCCTAGGTCTCAACATGGAGGATACCCAAAAAAAAATCATGGCTTATCACCATTTTCCGGAATAAAAGTGCCATGATGACTAGGGTTTCTTGCAGTATACATTGTATACATCTCATTTCTTGCGGTTTATACCCTCTGGTAACCTGACATAGCTCTGGAAAATCACCATCTTTGATAGGTAAGTCAACGATTTTTTATGGGCCATGGCTTCCAGTTCGCAAACTGTTGGTCATTACCAGAAGGTATCCCCAATGACTCAAGCTTCCATCCCGTTGGTTAAATCCACGTCAACAACCAACGGAGCCGGCTCTGCCATGCTCTCCTGGTTCATAAGCCCGCCCTAAACACGCCACGCACCGCGAGAGATGACCGGGAGATGACGATGGAAAGAAAATTGTGCCACTAATAAAATTATTGTATGGGTTATTAGTGATCAACCCATGTCATTAATTTCATTGGTCAACTTATGTAAGATGTGCCACTCATATTTCTTTCTGATGTCACTAATAAAGTTATTGTATGGGTTGATTTGTAGTAGAACATGATATCAATAACCACCCTATATTGATATCAACCTCATCGTTATCATAGACTTTACATAGGGTTATTGTAGGTGATTAGTAAAGTGGTGACTCTAGTTATTAATGATACTAATCCCATCCCACTACTATTACTAAATACCCCCCTGAAACCATGGGTGTAGTAGTGGATTTACACATCTTTGGGACCATTTAGGGGATGTCCAATGGCTTTGCCTAAAAATGGAATTGTCCATGATATACCCCAAAATGGTAATATTGGTATATATGTTAAAGGGGACATGGCGTCGTGTATCATCAGTCGGTGGGGATGTTATGGGAATATGCTCGTATATACTGAGGATATAAATCTGAGATGTACTAAAACCAACAATATGATATGGGTTTGCCTGAAAACATTGGGAAAGCCTCAAAATATCATGCTTGGGAAACTCAGTGTCCCTATTAAACTTGCATTTTGGGGGATCCCCTATTTTCAGACAAACCCAAAAATCAAGAGTTGGTGATTAAACTATCAACAAGTTCGCTGAAAAATCTTGATAAGCGGTTGTCTGAAAATCTACGCTGACGTGCTGGAAAATCTCCAGCAGCATGGTGCGCGTTCCGCAAGAAGCGTTGCTTGGAACCCTCCAACGGACCCTTTTTTGGATGAATGATGCCCTGTTCGGACAACTCACAATGCAAACCAATGGGATTGTAATAACACATTCCCATTATCCAAGTATCCCAATGAATATCCCTAATATTCCTAAGAAATCCATGTAAATCCGAATAGATCCCTACAAATCATGGCCAATCAGCCAGATACCCTGCAAAAAAAATAACAAATTCTTAGCTGGTTAGTAAGTAGATAATCCCATATCAAAAGACTAGTTAGGATTTGTTTCTACCCATCAAGTCGATTGGCCTCGAATCCTCATAAATCCCTAAGAAATCACTGGCTACAGCCGCCTGCTCTGCGGCTTGCCAAACCTTTCCCATGCTGTGATGGATCCAGGACCTGATGCTCGCCACCGATTTCACCAATGAAAAAACAGTGGCTTTAAGCATCAACCATAAGGCCATAAGGATTTAATCCAATGAAAAATGAAAAATGAATGTTGAATGATGTGTCGTTTTCAGTAGTACACCATCAGCTTTTGGCTATTTTCCAGTCCAAAAAAGTCAAAGCACATCTTACCTTGCACTACATCCTGATGACCAACCTGTCATCATTGACGAACTGATGAACAGCTGCGCCCCCATCGCAGACCCTGCCTGGTAAAGAACTCTACACGCTGCAAATCATCCGCCCTCAGCTCCAACAAAAATCGGGTTGCTAAGCTGGCCGTTCAATTGAGTTTGTGGGGATTGCAGATGCTTCCAGCATTCAAATGTCGATGCCTTAGGCTTTGGTTCTGGGCAAGTTCCAGAGCAAAAAAAGGACCCTGTAACCACAGCCCCAAAAACTGAAGTTCGTAAACACTGTGTCGAACCCGAACTGGGATGGTCCGGAAATCATCCCACTTTAAATTTTGCACGTAGCTGTTAACAGTACTTAAACAGCAGTATAACCCCATCAAAACCGCGTCAAAAATCTAATCAAACCAAAACAAAGAGGCCAAAATCTCAATCACCCCACACCTCAACACTCGGAGTCCCAAAAAACAAATTGAGCGATTCCAAAATTTAAAACTCCATTTTAACCCCCATTCAAAACCCAAAAAAAAGGCCCTCCATCTGCGAGACACACAGGTGTGGCCATAGCTTCCTCGAAGGCTTTCTCGTGGGCTGTCTTGAGGCCCTGGACCGGCGGTGCTTTGGGGCAATCTTGGAGGATGGATGTATGTATGTATGTATGTATGTATGTACGTACGTACGTACGTACGTACGTATGTATGTATGTATGTATGTATGTCTGTGTGTGTGTATGTATGTATGTATGTATGTACGTACGTACGTACGTATGTATGTATGTATGTATGTATATGTATATATATATATATATGTATATTATTTATATATATTATATTGATGGTATATGTAACTATGGTATACTGTATACTTGGGGTTTATACTATTATCTTGGGGTTCATATGGGTTTGAAACTTTTTAAATAATATGGCCTATGGTAGATATATCTACAGTATATATACGTATATATATATATATGGGGGGTATAAAGAACCTTAGACTTGGGGGAGGGGGATAATCATGGTGAGTTCACCTTCCTAAGTTGGGATATAACTATAACACCTATAACTGTTACATAACCACTTAGTATACCACTAAAAAACCCTCCGGTCATCAAGCGTGACAATTGAAAATTCACCGGCAATAGTTCGATGATTGTCCCATGAAAAACCCTCCATTTCTGATTTCTCATTGCCCGTTGATTACCTGGAGTGGAATTGCAGCCTGTGGGAAACCCAAACCCAAGAATCATGTGAGACTAAACCAGCAATTTTACAGGGGATATGATGGGGATGCAATCAAGACATAATGATCGCAGCTACTCTTCTATCACCATCCCTGGTTCCGTGTTCGGTGTGTCACCAGCCTTGTATAACTTGTTGGACAGGGACCTTGTTCATAGTCAGCTTGCACGCAAAAAAAAAAACAAACATGAGTCGCTGCGTGGGTGTGTCCAAAGATGTCACAAAAGAAGAGCCATATTAATGAGGAAAATGGTGATCATGGTGACAAACCCATGGGAGCTTGGGGCACCATCTTTTCAGACAAAGCCATGTTGGCGCTAGCAGTTCATGGGTATGCGATGTCCAACCCGAGGTTAAAAAACTTGTAGCAGAAATCTCAGCTGTAGCAATAAAATCGGACTAGCAACAGGCCCTCAGGCCCACCAAAAACTCCTTGTTTTAGGCATCTGAGGCGAAGACTCTTGGTCCGGCAGAAGAAGACAAGCAGAATCCCAAATGGCCTCAGATCCAGAAACGGATTGTATCCCCCACTCCATGAAATCATAAAACGAAGTTTTGAATCCCTGGATCGATTTGAGTTTATTGTCTTAATGTGTGTTACACGTTTGACACACCCAGGTCAAATCTCAGTCGAAGGGATGAATCGATCCAGAAAGCCACCTTCTCCAACAGACAGCCATCCATCAGCTCTTCGTACCTCGATCTTTTCATCGACGACTCGAAATTTCCGACGACACGAGTAAAGATTTACCCTCTGGTAAACTAACATAGCTATTGAAAATCACCATCTTTAATGGGAAAATCCACTATAAATGGTGATGTTCAATAGCTATGTTAAATTACCAGAGGGTAAGAATGTGTCCTAATGTGTCGATCGTGTCGTGTCGATCATGTGTCCTCGAATTGACCCATGTGTCCTATCACATCATCGCAGCGGAAAGGCCGGCTTCACGAAAGGGCACCTGGCATTCAGCACCCTTTCCACTTCCGACCATTGCGCATCTGCAAGCAATGGAAAGCTCGTGCATGCTCGTCATCGAACGAGAATCAAACAAAAACTGACCACAAATGTCATCAAATATCTAGGTGTGCCTAGATTATCCACATATGTACATCTCCATATATATAGTATGATATAATTACATATACATCATATATTGGCTGTACATAGTTCATCATAGTTCTACAATGTCAGAAGCTGACAAAAAGAAAACAGCAAAGATAAGAACTGGTTGGTGGTATACCTACCCCTCTGAAAAATATGAGTTCGTCAGTTGGGGTTGCTATTCCCAATATATGGAAATTCATAAAATTCCATGGTTCCAGTCACCACCAACCAGCAAAGATAAGAAGCTTAGTCAAAGTTGAGGCTTCAACTCTGGCCGCTGCCATTCAAAATCTCCCAAAAGGCCATATGAAAAGCCACCGTGAGGTCCAAGTCAAAGAACCTACGAAATCCATGGATTGCTTCAAGCTCAATGGATTGGTTTAAGGGAAAATCGACAGGAAACCATGGTTTTTACATGTTTTTACCATCAAATATAGGTCTTTCCTGTAAATTGTCCCATCATCCAATTCTATGCTTATGGGAAAATTTCAACCGGAAACCCCCATATCCAATGGTAAAAACCCATGGGTTTCTGGTTAAGATGTTCCCCAACAAACCAATCCATTGATTAAAAGCTTCACAGATTTTAATAATAGATGTGCAGGATATTCCCCAGAAATATTTCGGTTATCAAACACAAATTTGGGGACGTTCAACTGATTTCAACTTCTCAAATTTGGGAAGGCTAAGATGTCGAGATCTGGAAGATCTGGATATGATCAAAATCCATGGCAGAAACATGCATCAACTATCAAACAATCAGGGATATTACATGGGGATACCATGGGATATTGAGGGATTCTTTGGGGGAAATTCATTGATCTAACCATGAAACATGGGAGGTTTTTTTATGGCTGTAAAACTATGACGTAAGTTTATGGGGATTCATGGGATTATGTGTTGTTTTTAACCAACAATACGAAAACAAAGTGTGCACTTTGTACAGGTCTCTGATGTGGCAGTGGGGGCAAGGTCTCGGGGGGATGGTCATGACCAGAAGGTGATTCGGGAGGTTCCCCAGTTGAGACAAACCTACTTGGTGGCGAAGTACCCACGAATCGTGGTTGTGGGTTAGTTCACCCCAGTGATTGATGTGGATTAACCCTACTTATCCATACTTATCCCATGTAAATCACTGGGGTGAACTAACCCACAACCACGATTCGTGGGTACTTCGCCAGCAAGTATGCTGAGATCTGTCTGATGCTCACACTGCAAGATCCAGTGAAAGCAAAAGTCGGGCAGATTTCTATGGGTTTTCTCTGAAAATTTTAAGCGTGCCTCAAATCACATTCACGATTACGAAAACGTGAAGCTTGCCATTGATCCAAAAACACGGCTTCCATCAAAGTTCCATAAGACAATTTTGATAAATGGAAATTTGGAACTATCCCTATGAAAATGGAAACATGATGGAAACATGTTCCATTTCAGATGGGGCAAAGTTTCATAAATTGTCCTCCCATCTTTGGAGAATTCCCTCTGAAAATGACCAGAGATGACCGGAATCTCCAAGCCACCAAGGCTTATCGGCACAGGCGTTGCTATAACCTCGGCGAAAACCGGGATATCATGGGTCTGGGTCAAGTTGAAACAACAATTCACTAAGCTGAATTGTTAGGCTAGTTCACTAGAAGGGATCAACAAACCCAGATGGGTAAACTAAACTTGATTCAATGTAATTTAATTGACATGAATTGCCTAGTTTATTGCAATTGCTACATATGGAGTCCAGAAATTCCACAAGAATTGTGATTTCACAGTGGGGACGTCAACAACTATATCCACTGACTAAATGAACGGCGATATGGAAAATCATGGTTTCCCTTGCAAATTGGTCTCTAAAATGTAGATGTTTCCATACAGTATCATTCCATATCGACAAAAACAAATGCTGGAGGGTAAATGGGTAAATCACCCCCACTCTTGACAAACCCGAAAGACCAGGAATAGGGCATTGTTCAAATTGAAGATGAACTGCAGCACAGCTGAGAAAACGGCCCAACAAGAATCCTGCTGTGGACATATCTCTTTCATCTGAGAGTGGCACCCCTCATAGCCGTCTCAATAAATTGTGGACCCGCCTGCACATCGAGATTGAACTGCAAACTGCGAACAGAGAGGATGCAAAACATATGTCTTTCTGGGTCCAAAACCTGGTATCCTGGTGAAGCTTATAGGTTTTGATCCCCATCGTGGAACAGTAAGATGCACCGATGTACCCCAGTCCGGGCCTGGTGCCAGGGCAATGTCAAGAGCTCTGGTGCCTGCGCTCCCTTGTACAAGTACCTTCACGGTTGATGCGTGGATTTTTGTTCTGCTGGATCCTGAAGTTGATAACCATGGTGGATATTAGCCATATGGATCATATGGGTGAAGTTTCAACTCCCCAAAATTGGACACCCACCGACCCACCAAATCAGGCCTGAAATGGGATGCATTTTGCCAAGTTGTGGCCATTTTCCAATGGGGCATGTCATGATTCACCAGTGCCGCGTTTGGACAAACCCACATTTTGAAGAGGCACAAAGAACTGCCGCGTTTGGCTGTGATGGAAATATTGCTCTGAGCATCGCAATCTCCAGGAAATGGTACTTGCTAACCATAGTAACAAATTTTAACATTTAACCAATTTGTAGATGTGATAACCCGAAGAAAGGGCACTCCGAATTGAGTTACTAAGACCTTACCCATGGGAAAATCCTCAGACTGCTATGTGCCCGGGAGGCACTTCGTGATACGCTTGGACAGCTCAGTCTGGTCCCAGTCCTTTTCCTTCTCTGCAATCTTTTTGGTCGCCTGGTGCAATGGCTGGCGATAAGGTCTCCATAAGGTCTCCATGTTGTGAAATGGGGAGTATCTGAGAACAATAGCCATGTGTCAGTTTTAATAGGAAACCCCAGAACCCCCTACCTTGAGAAACAGCCAAAAAAATGTGCAGAGTCTTCCGAATAGCCAGCATCTTCATGGAATGCTGTCACTGAAGCCGCCTTCCAAACTTGCTTGTTGAGGCAGGCATGCACCTTTTGCATCCTCGATGAGTAGGATGAACCCAGAACTCACTGGCCATATCTGGCCATGGCAAAAACACCAAGAGTTGTCGCCACTTCGCAAGTCGTTTTTTTGGCCAACTTCAGTGATCAGATACCAAAGACATGCCACACTCTGCTACCCTTCCGGGATAATTACATAGCTACACGGGGCCGTCTCAAAATGTGCAAACCCATTCCATCCAAACTCGATTTTTCCCACTGTTTGAAGGCCGTACATTGGTTATAGATCCACCACTTTTCAGGACAGTAGCCATTTTGAAATGTGAAAAATCACCATGTTCAGAGGTCAAATCATGTCCAATCCCCCCTGTTTGCTGCTAACAACTCTCCCATCTCAGCATCCGACACTTCCTCATGTGGCATCACAGGACCTTTCTGCACCGGCCTCAGGTGATGACATCCCTTAGGAATGCAGGCCACAAGTGTTATGGCTTCCATGGGATTTTAACCCCAGGAACTTGGGATATACCCTCCAGTAAATTAACAGTTCGACCCTGGCAGATCACCGGGTTGGAAGACTAGTTTCCATCATAAATGGGTGATTTTCAGGGTCAAACTGTCAATTTACCAGGGGATAACTCCGACAACCGAACTTGTGTAGCCACTTCTTGGTGGAACTGCGCCCGCAAGTCCGGGAGTAGAAGGCTCGCAAAGAGGCTGCATTGAAGTCTGCCTTTTTTTAGCAAGTTACCCTCTGGTAAACTAACATAGCCTATAGTGAGTTTTCCCATTAAACATGGTGATGTTCCATAGTTATGTAAACGTTTACCAGAGGGTATTGAAAACGATCATCTGAAAATCCAAACAATCCTACCCTGGGTCTTGGATCGTTGCTCACCCGTGGAAGATCATTTCTCCCATGTTTGCTCGGATGGTTTAAGAGTCCTCAATGGTGTCACACCCATGGGACCTCAACATTCGCTTCTGTCCAGCACTACTGTGGATGGTTAAGAAATCCTGCACCAGTTGAAAACGGTGCTTAGTCCCACTATTTATAGGGTTTCAACCATCCTTTTGGTGGTGCAGGATTTCGCAACCATCCACCGTAGGATAATCATATACCGTATACCCCAATTTCTTGCCATTTAGAGAGGGAAAATCAAAATAGTCACTGGATTTTGGGGCTGCGACGCTTTTAGACAAACCCATTCTCAGCCTGAAAATAGGCGACAAAAAAAAGAACTTGTCATTTTCCAAATTACACCACCATGAGTAGGGATGTAAATCCATGTATATAAACCCAACCCATTTTGCACCAAACTAACCTACCTACAGCGCTGAGTATCCGTACGCATAGCCTCCACGGTAGCCCATTCCCTGTGCCTCAGAGAGCTTGAGAACAAATCACTGGGATACACAGCCCTCGGAATATGAAGATGTCAGAAAAAATCGCGAAACCCCGAAAAAAACTCATTGTTGATGGTCATGTTCACCATTAGATTCATTAGATTCCCATTTTTTGCGCAAATAAGTCAGCTTCTAGAAATCAGAAGAACTCATGGCACAGCTGACCTATGCCATCCTGCCTTCGAGGCTGCATATTGCGGTGGAGCGTAGCCTGACATCGGCAAGGCATCTCAGCTGAATCACACGATATTCCCCACTATATTCGGTCGTGCCACCAGCCCACAATCATCAACCAACAGTTTTTTGAAACTGTTCCAATGAGTGGTCGAAATTTTGGTACCCAAAAACTGGCTGTTTTTAGACCAACAAATGAGTGTGTTTTTATTGGCATCCGCATGACCCCCAAACTGCCCTGTGCCTTGCGTGGGCGGTGCTTTGCCACCATGTGCTTTGCCACCATGCGCTGCTTTGCCGCCAGGCGCTTTACCACCGGGCGCTGCTTTCCCGCCGAATCCCTTGCCACCCTGCGACGTGAAAAAATAACCAAACTGTCGTCCCTTACTCGTTGAGAACGGAATCCGTTCATGGATTGTGATAATCATGTATAATAAATATAATAATCATATATCATAATCATGTATAGTCCCATTTTTTATCATCAAATATCATCAACCAAGCCTGGCAGCCTTAGGTTTTCTTCACACTGCTCAAATCACAAGGTCACGCCATGTCTCGCGTCTCGCCTTCTGCCCTTGTCCATGCTGGTCTGGTCGCACATTCATGGCTCCGAGACCATTGGCATCCTGATACCTAGACCAGAGGCATCACGACGTGTCGTAAAGGCGTGTCGGCTTGGCTCCAAATGGTGGGTTCAACATACTGAAAAAGATCTAAAAAGCACCAAAACTTCAAAATCTTTTTCAGTTTTTAAAGCTTGCAAATGTTGAGCATATCCAAAAAATAGGAGATTCACCGCCATTGAAAAATGCTTTCGTTTGAATGGTGAATCTGGATTTTCTGAATCATGGGATGGAATTGGGTAGCCCATACTACTACAAGCCACAAAAACAACCGTGCAAAAGAAGTACTCAACTCTCACATGAAAAAAAACTGCTCGTCTCTCTCCTTCTCTCCCTACTCAAAGACGGAATACAACAGGGGCCGGCAACTGTCCCATTTTGGGAATATTGGACATCACCTTATAGTAGCCATGGCATTGACCATATACCGATTTTGGTTGGGTGATGTTCAATGGGGACATTTAATGACCCATGTATAAGATGATCGTATTGAAACTGCCGTTTTTCACGAGCCTCTTTCAGCACCTGAGTAGATCATAGTAGATCTATCCGATAGGAGAACTAGAACTTCAGTCGTCCCACCGTCAGCCCGGGTCTGACCGTGGAAGGCGCACAGGAAAAAGGTCACAGCACAACCAACTCCGGGCAAATCCTCCTGCACATCCTGATGCTGGCGATGCTTCCATATGTATGAAAAGTTCTGCACGCTCCAAAAACTAGGATAGTTCATCTTTGGGATGTTTATCCAATGTAAATATATATATATACACATATCATTTTCTGCTTGGCAACTATGTCTATGTCCTGGTTGAATGTTTGCAATACGACATTGTTCACTCGGGTTGACGCACGGCGATGTGACACCACGACCCTTCGTTTGGGTTCTTGCAACCGATGCATTTCGTCAATTCCTCACGGATTCTCAAAATAGGGTATCCCAGGTATCCCAAAATTTGCTGATTTGTCATCGTGTTCCTAAGGTTGTCATACCCATTTTAATAGTCCTTTTCGTTTAAGAATTAAATGCCTAAACATAGACAGATTTTTCCCATACTCAAGGAATAGATTTGTCTAATTAGGGCATCCAACCCATTTTCAGACCCATAACAGTCCTCTGCCAGGAGATAGATTTTCCCATTGTTCCTGGCCCCAGCTGAAGTGCACACCATGTGGATATCTCATGGGGAGATACCAACCCTCGGATCTCATGGCGATAATCCACGAGATCAAATAGTTTAGATTATATCAAATATCCTTCCAAATATCCAAAAAAATATCTTTCAAATCATCAAATATCCAAAACAAATATCTTTCAATGGCCATTTATAGTGGATTTACCCATTAAAAATGGCCATTTTCCATAGTTATATCCTTAAATTGTTTAAAGATATCCAAGATATCTCCATATATCCAAAACGACGATGCCATTGCTCGCCGCGCCTGTGGGCTTCGGGATGATCAATCTCCTGGGTTGCCTCGCATGGCGCCATGGAGCCTGAAATATATAAAGTACATTAATATAAAGCGATAATTATAATCATTATCATTATTATCATCATTTTTATTATATATATATGGAGATATGATTATATATGTATGTGCATAATATATATATATATATATATACATATATACATATGTATGTGCATATGTGTGTATATATAGGGAAAAATCCTGTAAATGTTCAAAATTATTTCATTCCAAAGGTACAATAACTAGGGTTTACGCTAGATATACCTATAGTGGAGTTTATAAACATAACTGGGGGGCACAACATTGTGTGAGCTGTGAACAGTGATATGGCTGGATAAACGAAAATAAGTCACTCACTTGAAAAGTTCGGCCATTTGGGGATAGTTACCCCATACATTTACCATCATTTTGTGTTGACATTATATTAGTGGCAATCTATATGCTTGCTAGCTGTTAATGGTTGGGAATAAGTATTACTGAAATGGGGTTGTTCATGGTGATATTGATCATCAATAATGACATACCCTTGATAGTTTTTTCCCAACTTTAATGGCTTTACGCTGATAATCATCGGGTTGTCAAAAAAAACTGGGCTGTTGAAATGCCCAAAGAAGCATTTCGGTAGCAAGTGAAGTCACTTTTTGGATGTACCCCACCTAAAAAAGCGCAAGGGCCCGCGCATCCGGGGTTGAAATTAGTGCCTGAAAGTCCGATGGTGGCCATGGACACATTTTGGATGTGCAAGAGACAGTTCATTCAAATGTGTTATGTCTGAGGAGCAGGTCGAAATGGCCTCAGACCAAGCGATGGACTGTCATGGAAATGTGTATGTCTGATTATTAATGTCCCCAGAATGTCAACCCTGGATTAATAAACCCTTAGGCTTATTTTGGGGGGTAGCATTGCCAAGTATTGGATTATCAATGATTATCATTATTTGGGGATATTTGGGGATTACCCCCCAAACGAATAAACCTTGGTTTATTCTCAACGTCTTGACCCATACCCATTCTTGTCGACTATGCCCATTCTTGAAGAAGCCGACTGCGGCCTGGATCCAACCAAATTTGTCGAACCTCGGTCGCTCAAATCCAGAAAATAAGAATCCTGGGATAATCCTCGCCATTATATGTTCAGATGCCATTCACATATATAATATGATTCTATATATATACATATATGCACATACATATACATCTATATAGATATATATGGACTATGGATGACTATGGTGTATCCATGTGTATCCTGTCTCCCTCATTGGAGCTGAATCCGAGGACATGGCCAGTCCAGTACTGTGCCTCGAATGCGCTTGGTACCTGTCGCTTCGGCGTAAGCACAGATGACATGTGTGGCTTCGAACTAAGGTCTAACCATGAATTCCCCCTATCTTTCCATTACTGGTTAATACATGTTAATACTATAGTTCATACGCCATAACCATTGGATAATAACCATTTATTCTGAAATAACCATTAGATGCTCAACCATAATAACCATTTATTCTGATAATAACCATCAATAATTATGATGTTCTCAACCATTGGATTCTCGTTGATTTTCCACTTTTCAGACCCCTGGGGCCGTCACTGACCAGCGTTCGTCCTCCAGGGCCTGTGCTGTGTCATCAGATGGCGTGAAACCGAAATCGGGAACTGTCAAAGGGCCCGAAAAATGTGAAAACAATGATGAACTTAGTGTTTTTGTCACGTTGTTTTGACCTTGATTTTCATGTTCAACAATGATTGACTTAGTACTTTGGACAATGTCTTGCAGTATTCAACTACCTAGAACGGCTGCGACAAACTGGAGGGCTCCCCTCTTTCGTATCCTCAACGAACCACTGGGAATTTGGCATATCTATGGATCTATGGTTGAGACCAATTGTTCTCTTGTCACGTCAGGATAGCTACTAACCCTCCATCAATCTGGCAACGGGATATGCCCCATTTATAATCTACATCCAGTAAAATAGATGAAAATAGATGCTTTACCCCATTAGAAATTTCTAGATCTTGATGCCACTTATAGATGTTTAAAGCATTTCGGTCGCCCATTTATTTTCTGAAGGCGGCCTCTAGCAGCAGGTCGCATGGCGTCGTGATCCCTCCGGTGTATTTCAACAGAGGCTGTTGCATAAGGCTCCATCTGGGCCTTGCTGAAATGAAAGTTGAGCTATGCTCCCATGGCAATGCTCAAATGATGTTGCTGAAATCTGTCGCTGGCGGAATCTGTTCTGTGACTCGTACCGAAATGGCCTGGGCGTGTCGAACAATGTCCCTTGGACAGGAGTCAAGCCCCAGAGCAAAAGAGCATCACTGCAACCATTTCCGGAGGTGGCTGTTGATACACACACAAAAAAAACATCAAAAATTACTAGGGTAGTGTATACTCAAACGAATCCATGTTTATCGTCATTCTCGCCACTGAACTTGCCGTAAATTGGCGGTAAATCACCCACTACTGGACAAACCGATTTTTTTTTTGTTGCGAGGGCGCAGGCCTTCTGCATTGAGCCACCATACATTGGCATCACCGTGAGAATCTCCGGGCCGCATCACTTCCAAAAAAATCAAACAAGGCATTGAACGTGTTCAACATGTTGATCTCTCACTTCGGCCCGATGATACTTCCGGCATCGCTTACTGATTCAAGACATCTGAATGGCACAGTTTTTGCCCTCAGACGGTGCCGTCATGGACCATGGGTCGCCGAAGCGACCGTTGTCCACGGACGGTACGAAAATGAAGCATTGCTGGAAGATCAGTCTTCAGGCGGAAGTAATACTCTTCTAGAGACGTGGAGTATCATCTACCGATATATTATCTCATAAACATCTATATGTAAATATATGTGTATATATATATACATACATGTATGTATCCATATCCCATAGGCATATTATACATGTTTGAACAAAATAGAGAAAATAATTATGAACCATTCATCCTTCTGAACATTTTTTGGTTGCAAATCTTGACTTCCTTTGATCATCTGCAAAGGTTACAGAAAATAGGCAGGCTGGCGACACGTCTCGCTCGCTAGCTGCACCATATTTTGTGTCTTCAAACAATTAGTCTACAGCAAGCTGGCAACAAAAATATGCCACAACTCAGGTCTTGTATGCCCTCCCAGCATCACTTTGCCGCGTGTAGGCTGCAAAATGCTGAGCCTCGACACCCAAAAACTGTCCTCATGGGGATCGGACCACAGTACGACGAAAACTGAGTTGGAAGCAAAGGAGGCCATCAAGTCATCCTGGAGGCCATCAGGTGGAAAGTCAGTCGTCATGTCCAAAAAGGAATGGTTCAAGTGTAGTTAACATAGTGGCAGGACATCTTGTTGAACCGGGGAGACCCGTCGACTCAACCCAGATTCAACACGAATCCAGTTGTCATAGTCAAGTCTAGTCACGATCCGCAGTAGACCAGTTGTCGCTTCACAAGCCACTATTAGGTATGACTATAGGAATCAGTCGAACAGTAGTTTTTTTCATGGCTCAGGGACTCAGGTTGAGCAACTCGCAAGTCCTGTTTCCCTGGGGAACTCGGTCGACGCTCCTGGTGAATAAAGGAACTTTTTCTTCTGTTTTTGTGACGACCAGAGTGGCTGTGAGAAAATGCCTGGAGAAAATGATGATCAACAAAAAAGGAGGCCGGTGCAGATGGTTTTTTTCAGAGAAACTCCTGGATTTTTCTGTTGCGGTCATTGATTTGTTTCCCAACCTCGTGACCATGACCATCAAGAACTTCATTTTTATCGCACCGTAACCCCTTTAAAAATGCCAAAAATGATTGGATTTTACTTGTCTATCCTTGTTGCTTTGTTATCAAAATCAAAGCGAGAGACACACCAATTCGACACAACAGGCAGAGGCGTTCTAGTCATTGTCAAATACATTCGAGACAACAACAACAACAACAACAACGACAACGACAACGACAACGACAACGACAACAACAACAACAACAACAACAACAACCACAACCACAACCACAACAACCACAACAACCACAACAACCACAACAACCACAACAACCACAACAACCACAACAACCACAACAACAACAACAACAACAACCACATCTCCCGGACCACATCTTCCGGACCAAAGGCGGACCCAAAGCTCCTTCAATGGGAATGCCTGGGGCAACGAAAGTCAAGGCATGTCTTAGAATCCTCTAAGACTTTATGAAGCATCCTGGTGGTTGGAAACAATGTGGGAAACCCAATCATAAACATAAACCTACCATTTGGGGATGGTATGTATGTATATATATATATATGTGTGTATCATCCATGCATTTATAGTGATTTTCAGGATGGTTAATTTCTGGGTTTACCACATTACTCGAGGATACACGTAGGACAGGATCCCTCTGTTCACATTCGCGGCGAAAAATCGGGGTCACTCCAAGGGATTCAACCTCGAATCGAAACCTCCGACCTGATTCGCTCGACTCAAAATGATTCGTCGAAACCTCCAAATGGCTATGGATCAATACCTATGAAAATACCATTTTTAGGGGGATGAACATCCATTTTAACCCAGCTATTTTGATGTGAACAGAAGGGGTACAAGGTTTTGACACACTGCCAAATCTGACCTTCTTTCAAGATCTTTCAAGATCTTTCAAGCCTTTCCCGATGTTCAGCCGAGGTACCATGACATCAGCATAGCTTGGCACATCTGATCTGCCCCGGGATGAAACCTGAGTTGATCTGAGCTTTACCTCAACTCATTCAACAAAAAACATCCGCATACCTAGAAACAGAAGCTTCAAGTAGGACTTTTTCTCTATAAAAATTAGGAAAAAAGAAATGGGAAGGTCAGCAGCTGGTGGTTTCAAATTTCGAGGTATGGAACACGAAGATTCAGTCAGAAGTACAACCACCCAGCAATGTTCGTTCATCACGTTCATAATTTTCCCCATGAAAATTGCCGTGTGGGGCTAATCAACCATTTTGAAGGATAAGACATGATAAGACCCAAAATGTTGATGTTTGAATCCACAATTCTGAATTCACTGGTTTTATACTTTAAAATGGTTTTTATCCCATAGTTGATTAGAGATTAACTAACCATGGCCAATCTTAGATACCCTGCAAAAAATTAAATTCTGAGCTGGTGAACGTAGATAGTCCCAGTGATACCAAAGAGACTAGTTAGAATTTAAAAACCCATCCAAGATGCCCCCAGTTATAAATGGCTTATAAGCCCATGAAAACTCGTTCGATATATCACCTACCATAGTGACTTTGGAGTTATGTTCACCAACTATAAAACCAGTTGATTGACCTAGTACCCTCTGGTAAACGTTTACATAACTATTGAAAATCACCATGCTATTCATGGGAAAGTCCACGAACTAAATCACCATTTTCAATAGCTATGTTAGTCATTACCAGAGGGTAACTATTGACCTAGTTGGTTTATAACAATAAAACCAGTTAGTTACTAGGTCAATAACCATTTAAACCAACTCAAAAGGATCATAACTCCCCAGTTCCGATGGGAAACCCCAGGCAGTTAGGCTGCGGCTGCGGTACGGGTCGAGGCGAGACCGCAGCTCGGGTAGCAGCATAGGAGGTGGTGTGGTGACGGATTTGACGAAGCCTCTGGTGGCCAGGCTTTTTCTCTATTTGAATGGCAGAAAAATGGTGATTTTCCTGGGAAAAATGGTGATTTTACTGAGGAAAATCTTGATTTTGCTGAGGAAAATGCTGCTTTTACTAGAGAAAATGGGGATTGAACCAGGGAAAATGGAAGTTTTATTGGGGTAAATTAGGATTCAATGACATTTAATGGGATTGAATGGGAAGATTTTGTGTGGGAAATCCAATAATAGGAATTTATATACCAAAATCATGTGGGCCCCACTTTCACCAAGAAAATCGAAGGATTTGCTGGTGTTTGCATTGTTTGGGGTTTAGGGTACACTACCCTATTCCATCCAGTAGAAAAAACATGTTGCCTATGAAAATGGCCTTTGTGGTGGCATACCCCTATTTTCACACCCACTATCATCAGGATCCTGTACATCAACGAATCACTCTTGTTGGTCGATTTGATGGCAATAGTCTTGCATATGTTTTTTTGCAGCCATGCTTAACGGTTCATTGGTTGCTTGGCTTGGTATTAACTCTTGAATTAGCAAGCTTTCATTCCACAGGCCAAACTGCCAATCAACAATCTTCGCTGTTCATAGTTGATTCTTAGAGCTTTCAATGTTCACGAAAAGGATCGATGAGTCGAAATTTACCCTGGACTCCCCTGCTTTTCGGATCAAGAAATACTGTTGTCAGTCTTGTCTCAAAGTTTGGAACCTTGTAACCCCAAGAATCCCATGGTTACTGGTCATTTTGCCATATTTTGCCCTTCAAATAACCATATTTGGATGCAAAAATCATCCATCTTCATCCCATGTAGCTCTTTCCCCTGCTGAATCCCTTGGTTTTCACAGATCTTCATCCAGGTTCCAGGCAGCTCCTGACTGCTAGGCCGACCCCTTAGACCTCACTGCTTCTGGATGTATGGAAATGGTGGGAAAATATGGAGGCTTTGATACGCAAATAACTATCTGGTTGGTGGTTTCAACTCAACCCCTCTGAAAAATGATGGAGTTCGTCAGTTGGGATGATGACATTCCCAACTGAATGGAAAAATACAACTCATGTTCGAAACCACCAACCAGCCAAAAAATAGAAGTTAACCCAAAATTGGTTGTCTCAAAATCTCATCCATATGTTGTAGATGTTTTGGGGAATTTAGCCATAACAGATTGGAGATGACAAAGTGCGAATGTACACTTGAAAAGCTGGCAGCGGGATGTAAGAAAGTATAAAAACAACCATCTTTTATGGGAAAAAATATGGTCTAGTTACGGGGACAGTTCAGAATGTGGGCACTTTCTCGGGTATATTCAAAACTTGCTTGGATCTAACCCCCAAAAATTTCCGGCCTTATCTCGCTCGGGGAAAGAAGGAAACTTCGCCACCGAATCGCTTGGGGCACCGACTCTCTGACACCGAATGTTCAGGACTATCCTGGAAATGGAAACCATTTTCATGGCAAAGACATGCAAAGACTGTGAAAAGGGCATTGGGTGAAAAGAAAGGCAGTTGAACTGACATTCTGCTGTCCATGTGTGTCCTGAAAAAATCTCTTGGACATACCAAACACCGGCCGACGCGCTGATTTTTTTCGTTGAACGGAAGCATCAAATCTCCAGGGCAAACCCAACCCCCACCTGGCGTCCAAGAGCCTCGGCCTCCTCGGATTGGTGACCCATTTGTGGGGCTTTTCCGCCAGTCCCAGAGTCCGATGATTTCGGCTCCCGCATTTCCAGTGATTTCATGGCAACTCCGGGGATCTCAATGTCAGGCATTCAAAAACGCTTGTGAACTCTTGTGTTTTGACAATCAAAACATACTCAGTGGTTCGCAATGGAAAAAAAATCCGGAACTCAAAGAGGCAGGAATGATGATGTTTTTTTTCAGCTCCATCCCCTCTAGTTGACTGGAATGCCGGCTCCTCTCGCAATAGAACCTCTTCCAGCGGCTCCTGTGAAGTGTGTTGGAGAACAGGCACTGAAAAACTGCATCAGTGTTTTCAAAGCCAGAGGCACTTTAGAAAATAATACACATGGCTACTTGCATGCTGGTGTTATAGTTGCCACATCAAGAAACATAGAGACCACGCAGTCCAGGCACTCAAAAACTAAATTGATTACAGAGAGGAATTCCGATGGATCCTCAGGACTTGTTCCTTGCAATACATTCGCAGCCTCCAAAAACTGCAACCCTTCAACTCCAGAGCAGTTTCACATGACCTGCACTTTGGCATCGCCGTTCAAGTTCTTCGGAACTCCATTTTTAACCTCAGCTGATCGCAGATTCTAATGCGGTATCACTATCACTGAGGAGCTCAATGAGTGTATTCACACAAGCATGCAGCATACTTTCCTTGGGGAAGCCCCAGAAAGCCTTGCTGCGCATGCTTTTAGCACTGTTCACCATTTTTTAACCCCTTGGGCGCTGTTGAAAGGGTGAGGAAAGCTCTCTGAGCCTCAAGCAAATGCATTCAACTCGGCCATGCGCTCCAAGCTCATTCCTGCAGCAGCTGGTCAAATGTCATTAGCTTGCGGGTACAATCTGAATGATACCCGATGGTTATATGGGTGATGCTCAACAGTTGTACGATGTTGTACGTGCATGTAGATTAACTAAAAAAAAATCCCCCAGCGCCAGTGTCAAAAAGGATCAAAAAGGCCTACAGTACTCCCTGTCAAAAATTGGACGTTCTTTGGTCCTTGTGCACCCAGAGACGTGCATGACGAGGTCGAGGAAGCAGAAGTTTTGCCTTTTTGAGAATATAATGGGATAGAACCAAGCAAAGGGGGTGATTGAACCCCAGAAAATTAGAGATTCATGATTTAACCAAGAAAAACATAGAAAAACGAGATTGAACCAGCAGAAATTTGGATTTTACCAGCATCATCGATAAAAAACTTGTCCGATCTTGGGATGCCATCACTCCGTGGCCGCCACCTCTCGGCGACTTTCGGCGCTCCTTAGCTATGCAAAGTCCATCCACATCCGTGGGAGGCACATGGGTCTACAAGGTGGTGCCCCATAGTTAGCTAAGTTGGTTTATAAGTCCCATAACTATGGTTTATGGCAGATATAACTATAGTATTCATGGGGTATATAAACCCACAAACATCACTGGGGGGCACCATCCTGTACAAATGTAATATCTCGGTATCCACATTTCTTGTGATTTACAATGATTTCCACACGTGCATACACTGCAAAAACATCTTTGACTTACTTCCAATCGAAGCATACGAAACAGCCACATGAGCGTTTTGTGATCCCGACAAGGCGTTTCAACTCCTCCCTCTCGCTCATGAGCATTGAGACCTGCGACGGAGATTTTCACTGCTTGAAACCCAATTGATGGCCACTTCAATAAGGAAAATCAAGTAAATAAATAATAAGTATTAATAAGTAAACAAAAACAAACAAAGAAACAAACAAATAAATATACCATATGGTTATTTAACATAGCCATGGATAATCACCATGTTTAAGAACGGTAAACCATCTATGAATGGGCCATCTATACCATGGCTATGTTAGTCATAACCAGAGGGTAGATAAACAAGTGCTTTTCAAAACCATGGGATGGAATGTCAAGCCCGTGCCTCACATTTGATGGTCAGATATGGTCCCCACTACATAGCATCGATGGGTGGCTTCAAAACTCTGAGACAACTCCATCAGCACCTGCTTCAGCAGATTGTTTTGGATCATGTTGAGCCTGAGTCAAGCCAGAGAGGTGTTGTTGCGTGCCATGCGTTTTTTCATTGTCCCATCCCTACAGTAGATTTGACCGAAGAACCCAACAGTCGGACTCCAATATGGGTATGTCTGAAAATGGTGTATACCCCCAATTATAGCCATTTAGTAGGGATAGTGATCATTAACCATTGGGTGTAGGGGTACACTATTTTCAGACAAACCCATATAATCATTTTCAGGACCCGTTTTTTTTCAGTGGTGTAGTTCGTTGAACATGTTTTTACAACAAGCATCTGCTGGAAAAAAACAAGCAGATCTCACGGATCCGTTGTATCCAAACTCTTAGACAGCTAAACCTGGCCGAAAATTCACCACAACAACTCTTGAAGGATTACGATTCAAGATTCTTCACCAAAAAAATGATGCAGTAAACTGCACATGAATATCATGAATTGTCCATTGATGCCCAATTTTTGAGCCATACCCCAAAAAAAAACTCTGTGGTCCCTGCTTTTTGACTCGCTCTTTCAGGCGAGCATTCTCAGCTTTGGTCATGTCTCGTTCCTCCATCGAGTACCGCAGGTCGCTATGAAATGACCAACGTGAAACGTGTGCTCAACGACAAATCAAATCCTGGGGTTGCAAGAGTCGCACACTTTTTCAAGTGCCTGCTTCTTTTGCACAAAGATTGACAGCCACTAAGTGGCGGTCATCGGCGCAAAACTATTTTGTTGAATGAAATGCCTCAATCCAGAAACAGGATTGTTCAGACAAAAATAGCATCCACAGAGTCTTTGCTTGGCAACCATTCGACAGGCCTCTTCTTGGAAGCAGACGCAGTTGAATTGGAAGCTAGCATTCCGTGCTAATTTCTAAGGTCTTGTTGTAAGACTTCCAGTGTCATGCTCGTCTTTTGGAGCAAGTTTCGAAAGCTGATCTCTTCAGAAAATGAGGAGTTGATCTTAAAATAAGGTACTTCGAATTTTGATGGTTTATCATCATTTTCCGCATGAAAATCGCAATGTTGGGTGGAGAGACCCCCTTCAAAAGAGACCTGAAACGACTTACGGCCGTGACTCTGATCAACTCTCGCCCACAGCCGCTTCAATATTTGGGTCGGTTGCCACTGCAGCAACCACCTTCCAGCAGTGGATATCCATCACCAAAGATTTCCTCCCGATCGCCCCATGGATTGGTGCACCAGTTGGTCAATGTTGGTCAATTTCACTACAATGTGGGGCCCCCGTTCGATAGCTAAGTTGGTGAACATAACTCCAATAACTATGGTTTATGATACGCAAATAACTATAATATTCATGGTCTTTATAAACCAACTAACAAAACTGAGGGGGGCCCACATTGTAGTATTTCATTAGGCATCATGATCGGTGGGTGTATCTGTCATGGGGTTCAAGTAAACCCCTTGGATCATAGGTCGACGTTGAAGCTGGCTTGGACAGGGGTGTTTTGTGGTGCTGCGTGCAGTTTCCTGAACATGTTGTTCTATCCTGAACATGCATCTTCGAAATGGTCTACAAACACATCTACAAAAACTAGGGACAAGTTGCCTTTTGATATGTTTCATGTTTTTCGCGTTAATGACACAGCTCTTCAAATGCAACATGTCTGGGTGAGTTTTTCAGTCGCTCCTTGAGCTCTCGCGGGTCGATATTTCGCAGGTCAAAGTCATCATCAGAATCCTCCGATCAGGTCTGATTAACATCATCGCCTTTTGGTGTCACTAAATGGAGCAGAGGCTATCTGGGCTATCTATAGTTTCCCAGTAAATTTGGGGGAATGAACATCCATATCATCCATAACATATTTCAGCTCAAAAAATGTGAGCAGAAGGGTGCCAAGATTTTTTTCGTTTTCCAATACAGATACAACAAGATTTAACGGTAGCGCCAATTCGGGATGCGTCGCGCACAACACAGAGTGATCCATCTGCTGGTGACAAAAACGTGCTGGTTGGTGCTGGAAATGAAAGATCTAGCTTTGTCCAACAAGGGAAGCCACGTTGGAATTTGGCTATGATCATCTGCTTAGCTCCCAAAAATGTCACATTGAAAAAAGAGGTTTCATCCCAGGATCCCTCCCGGAAAAACCTGAAAATATGCAAGTATAATCAAGTATATGTAGTCTAGTAACACATCCAAACCCCAGGAAGAAAAATGGATTATTAACTACCACGCCCTGCAAGATATGTCCTTGGAGCACGCTCCGCTTCGCCATTTCCAAAAGAAATAGACCAGCAGACCGGCGAAAAGTGCCGTGAAAAGAAAGTCCGTTAGTGGGCTGAAGAGACCTGGCTTGATGTTCCAGGAATATGAGGATTTGGCAAAGATGAGGATTAACCAAAACATTTGGTGATATTATGATGTGCATATACATAGATACATTTGTATAATATATATATATATAACATATGTAAAAATTACGCCAGCAAAGACCCCAGATAGCAAAAGATATTTTTTGGTGGCAACCAAGTACTCGCCTTTTTTGCTACGGAACAAACGTAATCTCCATAAGATCCCAATGTCCACACTGCCATAGACACCAGCCACTCCCTGCAGCAACACCAGCACCCAAGCTTGATAGCACACACCGCACTTTGACAGCACTACCCTGTACCAACAAGCCAGCTCCAAACTGCACACAGCACTCTGACAGCAGCACCCTGAAGAAGCATTCTGCACTGACACCCTGCAACGGCACCCTACAGCAGCGGCACCAGCAGGCCAACTCCAAAACCCATATCGGGTGGTTTTGGGGAAAGTCACTTGTGCGACGTCTGGGATGGAATGGACCTCATGATAACAACAACGACAACACCGCCACCACCACCACCACCACAACAACAACAACAACTACAACTCCTACTACTACTACTACTACTACTACTACTACTTCAACTACAATTACAACTACAACTACAACTACAACAAACCCGACAGGGAACCCTTATGGCATCACCGGTGTGCGAAGCTCTACAATTTGCATGTACCAGATTTAGCGACAACCTCCCAGGGCCCCAGCGTTTCCGAAACGGGCCTTTGTTCCGAAACTGGTTGCTGATGAGGAAGGTGATCAGCAATGGATCCGCCAAAGGGACGGAGTGTACGCCATCAAAGCCAGACATGCCGGGAGCATCCAGCTGGCCAGTCCAGTGCGTGACCCAAATCTGGTTGGGATCCTTTGTCAGGTCCTCATGCAGCGTTTCGAAACAACTAAAGTTGAAACCACGCTTGAATTTCTACTACAAATAAGTTGAAGATGCCCTCATCAATGAATTCATTTGTTAGTTAGGGAAAATGCTACGCGTCTTTCACAACGGAGTTAAAACCAAGGTAATTTTACCCCAAATTGGATGGGAGTTTCTGTATTTTTTTCCAACTTAACCAATTCTGGCAATTCAAGGCTGAAAACACATGCGAAAGGAGGAGATTACTGCATTCCATGTGACTCAAAAAGCAGTGCAAAGTGCGGATCATAATACATCCTATAGGTAATGTGGTAAACCCAAAAATAAACCGTCCCCACACAGAACACACAAGAGCAATCACTGCCGATTTTCTCCGGACCCATGCATGTGTGGCGCAAATGCGCCTTTCTATCCACTAAGGGGTGTGTCTCAAAACAATAGCACGATGTGTCTCCGAATGATAGCACGGCATGCCAAACAGAAGGATGTTGAAGGCTAGTATGTTGCTGTATTCAAATGTTCAAGACAAAAACCTCACCAAATTTTGAGACGATCCCACTTGCAAAGCGCAGCTTTAACAACGGCTCGATCTCCTTGCGTTGTGCAAGATCACAGCTGTACAAGGGAAGCCGCAGCACGCATTCACTGCAAAAGTGAAGGAATGGCTGGAAGCTCTGTGCACTAGAGGCCACAGCACCAACGCGGATGGCTGGTGGCTACGTCCTAGCACTTCCAACCGACGAGATCTAATCCTGACCTGTGACATAAATTAATTGGGAGCGTTGCTTTAGGAAAGAGGGACTCACTGAGAAAAAGATGGCATGGCGTCTATTGCTTGATCAAGGCATATAAAGGGTATGAAATAATCCCCCAACTAATCATCAACCAACCGGCGAACTGGGGTTTTGAACCGAACCCCCAGGCCATCCCAGGCCATCCTAGGCCATCCTAGGCCCCCTCCCCACGCCCAGCTCCAATCTGTACAGCCCCCAGGCTCTCGTCAGCGTCAAACAACTCGCCGCGCTTTCCGCGTTCGCGTTGAAGTCTAGACGTCAGAGCGTCCCCAGGTCCTCATGACCGTTCAGGGAATGACTGGAGATTCCTCGAGTTCCTTCGCCGCAGCTCTTGCGAAGTCAATTTCTTCATTCTCCAGGGAGTTGTTGACCTCGATAATCTTCACAGTCTCTTCGTCTTCAGCGTTGATGTTGAGCGTGTCCCACTCAGCGTTGATGAAGAGTTTGGCACCCTCGTCTGCCTCCACGGCTGCTTCCGAGACAAGGCAACCAAGCTTCACGATGCATCCTGTGCCCACTTGCACGAAAGCCTTTCCTGCGAAGCCTCCTTCCACAGTGATGTTGGCTCCCGAGGATGCCATGATAAAGTTCGTCCTGTTTTCGTTGGCAGTCACAAATTTGATCACCGTCAAGTTGCTTTTGCTGTCCGCCAGGAGTGCACTGGTCACCACATCCACCAACACCTGTGCCCCACCAGTGGCACTCACTTCCGTCAAAGCTTCGGGCACGCGAAGAGTCGCTTGGCCGGCAGAGGAAGGCCAATGAAAGCCCTGCCTGGCAGCACGCTCGTCCATACCCAGGAGCAAGGTTCTGCCAAAGGTCATAGGCTCCACGGAGGCCTTGACGGTCCATCCTAGGCCCATCCCATCTGCAGCGATGTCCAAAGACACCTGGCTTTGCGAAGTGTCAGTGACAACCTCCACGGTCATCGGGGAACTCACCTGCAGGTGCGTGAAGGGAATGACGTCTCTGCCAGCCGTGGCGCTGTTCACAATGAAGCTGAAAATCAAGGACTTCAATGACATCTGCATGGCTGTTTGGCGGCTATTTCACAGGGGCGTTTGTAGCACAATGCTTGAGCCCATTCACCCGATTTTACCATCTAGGGTATATTTCAACACAAGAAATATATCATATGCCTGGTATACCCCAGAAAGGATGCGATTTGTTCCGAAAAATCCACAGTCCACCAGGCGACCATGACCACCGCATCGCCGGTGTCTAGGAGGGTGAGTTGACTTTGACTCTTCGCATTGATGCCGCCCAAACGGGGCAACAGGCTCGGCAGCTCAGTGGTACGACCCAAGTAGTTCCCATCCTGCGGACGGATCTTCCAAGGATCCAAGGAAAGCCGAGCCAACAAGAAGAAAGGACTGGTTGGGACAGCACATTTTTTTAATGTGGCCACCTAATGCTGCGATTTCAAGCTCAACTTCACAGCAAGAATCGCGTTAGAACATCGTTGAGCAGTGTTCTCTGATAATATCATGTTGTACCCCAAAATGGGGATGTTTAAGCAGAAAAGGATGATTTTTCTCAACCATGTTTTGCTGTTTTCCCAAAATCTTCGAGCCATGGTCGTCCTTGTCCGTGAGTTTCAGCGCCGTCACCTGAAGCTGGGAACACCCGACCGTGGGTTGGAGAATTTTGGAGTCGAAGACAGCTGGAGCTTCTTCCCCGGAGTTTACAGCCCCCACCTAGTCACTTGCTAAAAGATTCATGTCAACCAAATTAAGCCCCGACTTGATAATATCTAGAGTCTCAACTTGCTGGAGCTTCTTGCAAAGAGTTATTAATACAGACTCAATCCGACTTCTGCTACAGTCAAGCTTGCCAAACCAACGAGGAGAGGTTTTAAGCACCAACTTGCGCAACTGCCTCTGCTACAAAGCCTTTCGCTATCGCTGGAGTGGGGGGCAGGAGCTGATGCAGGATTACACACTAGCAAGAGTAGCGTGATCGCACGCGATATATGAATACCATGAGTACCCTTGTGCTTGCCTCAGAGAAACTTGTTGTCGGCATCATTTTTGGATCAGATGCTAATACATGCAACAGGTTCATCTCTTCATTGGCAGCATCAAGAGCATTATCGCATCCTGTGTTGCCTTGTCTGCCCTCTTTCATCGGTGCCTCAGAAGAACCTTTGTCTGCATCATGCACACTCAGACGCTAATACATGCAACAAATACAATTTCCTCACACGCTTGGCACAGATTCTGTCCAAACATGCTGCTCATGCAACATACAATTTGGGCATCTACCCTCTTCAGTACATGCCTCAGAAGAGCCTTTTGTCTGCACCATGCAGATTCAGACGCTAATACATGCAACAAATACAATTTCCTCACAGGCTTGGGTTCAAAAAGATCTTCGCACCACAGATTCTGTCCAAACATGCTGCTCATGCAACATACAATTTGGGCATCTACCCTCTTCAGTACATGCCTCAGAAGAACCTTTTGTCTGCACCATGCAGATTCAGACGCTAATACATGCAACAAATACAATTTCCTCACAGGCTTGGGTTCAAAAAGATCTTCGCACCACAGATTCTGTCCAAACATGCTGCTCATGCAACATACAATTTGGGCATCTACCCTCTTCAGTACATGCCTCAGAAGAACCTTTTGTCTGCATCATGCAGATTCAGACGCGAATACATGCAACAAATACAATTTCCTCACAGGCATGGGTTCAAGAAGATCTTCGCACCACAGATTTTGCTCCAAGCATGCTGTTCATGCAACATGACAATTTGGGCATCTACCCTCTTCAGTACATGCCTCAGAAGAGCCTTTTTTCTGCACCATGCAGATTCAGACGCTAATACATGCAACAAATACAATTTCCTCACAGGCTTGGGTTCAAAAAGATCTTCACACCACAGATTCTGTCCAAACATGCTGCTCATGCAACATACAATTTGGGCATCTACCCTCTTCAGTACATGCCTCAGAAGAGCCTTTTGTCTGCACCATGCAGATTCAGACGCTAATACATGCAACAAATACAATTTCCTCACAGGCATGGGTTCAAGAAGATCTTCGCACCACAGATTTTGCTCCAAGCATGCTGTTCATGCAACATGACAAATTGGGCATCTACCCTCTTCAGTACATGCCTCAGAAGAACCTTTTGTCTGCATCATGCAGATTCAGACGCTAATACATGCAACAAATACAATTTCCTCACAGGCATGGGTTCAAGAAGATCTTCGCACCACAGATTTTGCTCCAAGCATGCTGTTCATGCAACATGACAAATTGGGCATCTACCCTCTTCAGTACATGCCTCAGAAGAACCTTTTGTCTGCATCATGCAGGTTCAGATGCTAATGCATGCAACAGTTTTGTCCCGTCATTGGCAGCAAGTTTTTGGACTTTGGCGCAACAGCCCAGATCCTAAAACAAAGGGTTGGATACCCACACGCACCAAACAAGAACTAGGCAAATGGAGCACCACGTCCAGCAATAAATTTCCATCAACAAATTCAGACTAAGCGCGACTGAACAGACTTGTGTCACCTAAAATAGCAGACAGGCAGATTCTGTAACCATTTCGAGAATTCGCTTAAGAAAAAATCACACATGAAAGCCCTGTACGAAAAATAGCTTTCGAAAAAAAAATGCATGTGCTTTTTCCTATGCATAATCTATGGAATCCACAGCACTACCTTGAGAAAGCGCCAACTCTGAATAGATCTGACGGATTGGCGCTAAAAAGATCACTTTGCTACCATTTTCTATGTGGAATAGGCATTTCGTGGAATGGCAGTATGCCATTGCTTTCCGAACCCAAAAACCAGCCAAGTGAAAAGCTCTTCAGCGATTCCCACCTGTGACGCCGGATCTGCAACGCTGGTCATGGTTGTCACCTCTCCTGCGCCAAGGAATCATGAAATACAGCGTTGTATATAGTTCCATATGAGCCATGGTCAATACTCACTATATGGTTGATGGTCATCCCATCCATAATAAGGATCCTTATAATGGTTGTTATAAATCCCTATGAACCATTGGATGACTAGCCCCTATTAATGGTTATTAACCATGAGTATTGACCATAGTTCATATGTAATATGTATATACCGTGGTAGAATGTGCATATCTATATCATTTGTAGTTGTTTGTTCCATCCCGAAAGATGCTTCACAACGACTTACGGCTTGAGGAAGAAAACAAGGCACACACTACACAAATCTGTCTTTTATCCTCTGGCACTGTTGCAGTGGCTTTCCAAGAAAACTGCCTGCACAGTTGTTCTTGCGCTGTGGGTATCTATCCAAGTTACTTAACGCTTATTGCAGCTGTGGGCATTGTGCTCCCACATTTTCTGCATGGTGGGGTCAAAACCATGGATCCCTGCCAGCCCTGCTGTGCAAAATCTCATCATCTCTCCTCGGTACACCACATTCCCGTGACAATCGAAGACTTCGAAGTTGCAATAGTTCCAAGGAAGGCAGATGGAATGCGAGGAGCTCCCTACCACATCCAGTCCAGGCATAAAAAGAAGTGCCCGGCCTGGAAAAAAATCCGGTCGACCGGAGACAAACGGCATTGAGCCCTGCTTGAAAGTGGCGAAGGCTTCCCGAAAAAGAACGTTGAACAAGCAAAATATGCATCAACCTGATGCTTGAAAACCTTTCAATTCCAATTCCCCACTTGCGGGGTATTTGTTTGGTGCAGTCTGCTGCAGCGCTTGATGCAGAACAGCTTGGCCCCCTTAAAGGTTTGACTGGCACGAAGTACTACGTGTGGCACAAGCGAGCTTAGTGGTCCCTGACTTTCTAACAATCAGAACCAAGAATCCCTTCCCCCATGATCTAGCGGGTATGAAATATTAAGGGAAAGGAATTAGTTCTGATGTTGTTGTAGATCCAGATTCTTGATGACTCCATCACTTGCCCCATCAAGGCTGTCAATGCCTTTCTCATCTGCCCCGCAAAGACAAGGTTTGGCCTAAACTAGGTTACCCAAGAATCTGATGTATGATCAGTTTCCCATATTTTCATCATTTTCCCTATTCAAACTGCCATCATTTTCCTCCGTCTTTTGAAGAAATCTAACCTTTCACAAAAGCCACCGTCCCTGCTTCCGCCTTTGCCAATGAAGGATGGTCTCTGCTCGATCTTGGAGAAGAAAGTCTGCCCCGACCCCGTCCCCGTCCCCGTCGTCCCCGTCCAGACCGTCTCGGTGGCCCAAAAGGTCGTCATCTCCCGGCGGAAATCAAAGCTGTCCGGCATGATGGGCACCAAAGGGCACTGTGAGACAGCCACGGCAATTTTAACAACACCTGCAACGAGTCATCGACTGGAGAAAACAGGAGAAAACTCGTTGCGACTTTGTGAAAAACGTTGAAAGGTTTAAGGGAAGCCCTTAAAATCATGGCTGTAGCCTTAACAAATGACTATACGACTATACGACTATAGTGTTTGAACTGAATTTGGGATCCACTTGGGTGAAACCCCAAAGGGTCTAGAGGCGAGCGATCTGCTACAAGGCCACTGTTCAGCAACACTGGCCTTGTAGCACAAGGACCAACCAGCAATGACCCAAGCCCATAGTGCCAACAGAGCCGCCGGCACTTTGTCCGTATGTGCTATCAGATTCAGAACCCTGAGGGTGTCATTTCTCTGAGAAACCTGAAAGCAAGAAGGGAGAACCTGCTTGAAGTGCCTAGAGAATAATGTTGCACACATCTTGGTCCAGTCTTCGTTGCAATCTTCTGGCGTTCAAACAGCACTGAGAGTTCAAACAGCAGCGGAAGGGTTTTTCCATCCTGTCAACTCAGCAAAGTGAACAAGAAACCCATCTAGATCCAATCTCAAAAATAACAGCCTTTCAAATATCTAAAATATCCAGGCAGCCTGACAGTCTCGTTACCCAAGATATGATCACAGAACACAGCGTTCCGACGCGTTCGAAATCGACGTTCGCCTGTTGGATTCGAATCTCCAACTGACTTTGCTCCCACGCTAAAACCTCCTCCTGGACGGGTCGCTGAGCTGAAGCAGCACTGCAGTGGCACTACCATGAAGCTGACTTCCACGGCCATCATGGCCATTGATTCATTACTTCAATGGAAATTCCAGGATCCGAAAATGGAGGTACTGTACCATATAAGGCCATATTTTGTGGGGATATTCCCTTACATAGGCCTTATATAGGCCTTATATATGGTAGGTACCTCCAATTTAGGTTCCTGAAATGGCCATTGATTACTGTTTTTTAAACAAATTGACAGAACATATCTCAAACTTGGGGACGACCCAAACCTTGCTGGTTTGGGTCCCTGATTTGAAGCCCACAATCATAGTCCTTTTCATCAATCATGTCCATCAGCTCCCTCTTCTCCTGTCGATTGGAACGTGTCAAAACATGGCTACGGGTCACACTTGGGTGGAAATCTTGATGGTTTTCGCAAAAGTGACCGCCAAATCGTGGTCCCAATTGGCCTTCAATGCTCAGAAAATATATCATTTTTGGTGCCCCGAGGCTGCAGAATTCCTTCTTTGCACAAGATATTCCACCTGTGGTGGAAGACCTTTAGGACTTCAACGAAATACGGACCTGTCCTCCTCAAACTCCAACTCTCTCTGGCGTATCTCATCCTGCATGCCTCCGAGAATTGATGACAGGCCTACAAAAAAATGTGTAGGAGAAAGATGGTCATGTAGAATTATACATCATTTCTATAAGATGGTCTTGAAAAATGCACAAGATATGATGATCATCATCGTGATTATGTTTTTTTTGTGGTGGATTTTCTCAAGTCAAAGCATAAAGATTGGACATTTGGTTTCCGCACGCCGCATCTGCTCTTGTGCCATGCGAAGCTTTTCCTGGCAGCTGCGCAGCTTTTTTTGAAATCCTGACTGTCAACGATCAAGCCAACACAACGGGCCTCGGTTCTTTGATGGGCTTGCTCCTCCCTCTGAAGTAGTGCACCTGAACAAAGGGGAGTCTTTCCGTTGGTCATAGCCAGATGTTTGGAATTCTGGATCGCAAATATCATGTTTTTCGATTGTAAATATAGTGTATACCTACATCATAATTTATGTTGCAAGCAAGACAAATGACGAGAAATCCTTTCAATTTTCATTGCAGTTCCCCTCATGACATTGACATCGTATCGCCTACCTTGGATAGTGTTGAATGTATGCCTCAAAAAGTCAGATGGCAAAAAGCGTTTAGAGTGTACAATTGCCTCCGAAAAACAGCACAACTCAGCCATACAATACATTCAATACAGTCTCCCCAACTCGTGGTAGACTACTGTTCTATCATGTTCTATCGTTTTGGGGATTACTGTACAATGTCTGGATGGCAATGAAACATATGAAACAGAATACAAACAAATGCTACAGTAAATTTTTGGTAAAACCCCGCCGGCAATCCAGTAATACAGCTCCATATTTTTTCCGATAGTGCCATGATCCAGAAAGATCGGCCAAAATGCGGCGCAATTTGACACAGCAAAACAATGCAAAAAGTGACAGACTCACGACATGCATGTATCCATGATCATACATAGTACTATGTCCCGATCTACTATTAAAATACTGTTATCATGTAAAAGGGAAATGGGATATGTTGACATAATTAAATGCATTTTAATTGTGTGATGTGTAATATGTCTAAATACACCTGCTGTCTCCACAAATTAAATGCATTAAATGTATTCACAGACAGATATGACATACCCATCCATGACATACACGTTCGAAAACAGTCAATTGCTATCTGATCAACTCCGAAATCCTTCACGCTCTGGTGGATGATCCATATTTTTTTGGACCATTTTTTCAAAGCACAATTTCGACCCGGCATGTCTTGATGTAAAAACCCCCAAAAATCACTACTTTTTTGTTGGAAAAATATGGGAAAATGATGATAAACTGCGAAATTCTGTCAAATTTCCTGGGTACGCCATTTTCAGACAAACCCATCTACTCTGGATGCACGGCAAATGAATAGCTGGGATATCTTAGACATTGCTTCTGTGCTGCATCCAACAACGAAGCACCTGAAACGGAGCCAAAAATGGCAGACGGCAGGCAGCTACAGCGCATGCTTCAACCAGGATCCAGGTCCAAAAAACACCCATGGCCATCGGTTCCCCAACTCATTGGGCCCTTTTTGGAAGAAATCCAATGGCCCCCAATGGCCCGAGGTGCTCACCATAATGCTCTTCCACACTGGGAGCGGATAAGCCCATCGACCTGCAGCGTTTTTCGGGAAGCCCATGGGTCGCCTTTTGAGAGAATGAGAGAATGTGGCGACACGAGATAGAACTCAACCAACAAAATCCAATGGGGATATCATTTGCTGCGACCAAATTCATTGGTATTCCGATAGAAGCGTTGGTTTTTTTTTTGTATATCTGTATATAGCTATGGGTCAAAAAACTGGTACTCTCTGAACACCAAGTCATAGCTCAAAATAGCTGGATGTTCACCACCAAAATTGGTTCTTTCATAGGTTTTCATCCATCTCCTATGGGTAGTTGTGGTATGGTTCATGTCGTTGGGGTACCTGTTTGCACCCACAATGGCTGGTCATTGTTAGGTGTTCATACGACAATCATGACATATGTTTTTCACTATTACGATCTCGTGGTTTAGCCTAGATGGATTCTCCGAAATTCCTCGAAAGGGATGAACCATGGGATCAAAAATTCAGAAACCAAACCAGAAAAATCCGCATCTCATGAAACAAATGGATGTTTGCGATTTCTTAATCCAGTTTTTCACAGTGTTTAACCATATACAAAAGTAACGCGGAATTTGTTAACCATAGAATCATTTACAGTACCATTTGGAACCATGGTCTTATTACCGATCTACCTTGGTGCTCTGTCAATCCCCTTCCAAAGGCTACCGACTTTAGATTAGAGATTAGATTAGAGATTAGATTAGAGATTAGATTAGAGATTAGATTAGAGATTAGATTAGAGATTAGATTAGAGATTAGATTAGAGATTAGATTAGAGATTAGATTAGAGATTAGATTAGAGATTAGATTAGAGATTAGATAGAGATTAGATTAGATTAGATTAGAGATTAGATTAGAGATTAGATTAGAGATTAGATTAGAGATTAGATTAGAGATTAGATTAGAGATTAGATTAGAGATTAGATTAGAGATTAGATTAGAGATTAGATTAGAGATTAGATTAGAGATTAGACTAGAGATTAGATTAGAGATTAGATTAGAGATTAGATTAGAGATTAGATTAGAGATTAGATTAGAGATTAGATTAGAGATTAGATTAGAGATTAGATTAGAGATTAGATTAGAGATTAGATTAGAGATTAGATTAGAGATTAGATTAGGGATTAGATTAGGGATTAGATTAGGGATTAGATTAGGGATTAGATTAGGGATTAGATTAGGGATTAGATTAGGGATTAGATTAGGGATTAGATTAGGGATTAGATTAGGGATTAGATTAGGGATTAAGATTAAGGATTAAGATTAAGGATTAAGATTAAGGATTAAGATTAAGGATTAAGATTAAGGATTAAGATTAAGGATTAAGATTAAGGATTAAGATTAAGGATTAAGATTAAGGATTAAGATTAAGGATTAAGATTCAGGATTAAGATTCAGGATTAAGATTAAGGATTAAGATTAAGGATTAAGATCAAGGATTAAGATCAAGGATTAAGATCAAGGATTAAGATCAAGGATTGGAGTAAGAATTGGAGTAAGAATTGGATTAAGAATTGGATTAAGAATTGGATTAAGACTGGATTAAGAACTGGATTAAGAATTGGATTAAGAATTGGATTAAGAATTGGATTAAGAATTAGATTAAGAATTAGATTAAGAATTAGATTAAGAATTAGATTAAGAATTAGATTAAGAATTAGATTAAGAATTAGATTAAGAATTAGATTAAGAATTAGATTAAGAATTAGATTAAGAATTAGATTAAGAATTAGATTAAGAATTAGATTAAGATTTAGATTTAGATTTAGATTTAGATTTAGATTAGATTAGACTAGACTAGACTAGATTAGATTAGATTAGATAGACAGATAGACAGATAGACAGATCGATCGATGGATCGATGGATCGATCGACAGATCGATAGATTGTGTATCTAATTGTATTCAATTACTATGGTTCCAAATCATTGGAAAAATCGTCCAATCACGGGACTCCAAATTCGAACTTCGTCCAAAGCACGTGCTTTGAGACGTGCCAGGCAGCTCTCCAGCCTTGGTGGACTGATAAGGCAATCTGCCAACGTTCGCCAACAAGATCAGAGCGAAAGAAAATATGCAGCTTACGAAATAGGGAAACTATTGGGAAAACAATGGTATCTACCTAGGAATTCTTAGCATTATTTTGACAGGAAATATGTGTTCGATCTAATGATACATACAACATGGCAAACTGCTGATATTTCATGTGAAACTATTTGGGTAACAATACTAGGCCAACTACGGTCGGTTTTGATGACCAGCCCTGGATGTTTCCACAAACCAATGGAAAAAAAGTTCCAACAAACCCAAACATGTTGCCAGTCACTGAGTTGTCCGACGTAGTCAGAG